AATCCACCCTCTGGGATCTAAACTTTAATTCTTTTTGTCGTGTGATTCTTCAGCCCATCACAATATATATATATATATATATATATATATATATATATATATATATATATATATATATATATATATATATGAGTCTTTACATTTTAACATGGAGGCAATGTAGATTTTAAATATTTTATGACTGCATCTTTTTACCAAGGAAAAAGTCCTATATCAAAATACTGATAACGATGACTAATTTTAGTGGAATTAATGTCTACCTATACATACTGTAATGTTCTACATGTATACGTCTATATATATATATATAGTTCTATTGCATTCTCTAAAGAATGCCTTGCACACTGCCCCATACTGTGATCAATATGTGGTCACTGTACGGCTGCATAAATTAAGTGCAGGGCTAATCTTATTTCCTAATTGCTCTTGACAGAGGCTGCAAACATCCATCACAGTTCAGACCACAGCACAAAGGACATCACGGTGAGCAGAGCAAAGCACACTTTACAGTACAGTACAAAAACAAGAGACAGTCCAGAGGCAATGAGCGATTGACAGAGCGCTGAAGCACAGAGACACGAGCCATCTGGATATAGGTGGGAGAACAAGTCATAAGTCAAAGGGAAAACATGCCTGTCACGCATCTCTCTGTGTATTTCATATCTCACGCTCCCTCTCTTCCTGAAGGATATTGATGGGTATGGGAGTGGGTTTCTTATCAGAGGCGTAAGGATTCTGTCCTGCTGAAAAAACTGCAATGCAGATACACAGAGACTGAGGGAGAGCGAGACACAGAGAGGGAGAGGCGAACTTAAACTCTGTCAGCAATCTCTTCAAATTCCAGCAACATCCCATTCGGCCCAGGACTTTTTATGATGCTCACATGCCCGTACACATGTATGTTCATGAAGCTGGAGAGTTTCCACTGGGTTATATTGTTTTATTGATATTTTGTCCCTAAATCCTGCCCTTAAATCTCACAGAAAATTTCACTGAAACACTATTTTAAGCAATTTTCACATATAGGTGTTTTTGAGATTCTATAGGTATGTCAATTTGTTTTATATTGTAAAAAGGGTATATTCTGTCCCCTTACCCAACCTTACGCCTAAAGACAACCATCACAAAAAAAATTGCTGCATTTTTTCTTAGCCGGGGCCAAACATATTATCACAAGGTGATAACAGACTCTATTACTTTATTTGAGGTGGAGATAGTTGGTCCCCATAATGTGAGCTACTAAGCACACACATGCTTGTCTCTCTGAAGGTGGAGAGTTTCCATTAAGTTCTTTTGTTTTGATGACATTTTGTTCCTAAATCATGCCCTTAAATCTCACAGAAATCTTTTATATTTTAGTTTTTTTTTTTTTCATTAAAACACTGTTTATTTTTATTTAAGAAGGTACTTTACATGTTTTTATGTTACTCCTATGGGGACATTTCTTTATATTGTACAGTGTGTGTATTCTGTCTCTATACCAAACCCTATGCCTAAACCATCACAGAAAATATTCTGCATTATTTCTTAATTAGAGGCACAAATATTACCACAAGGCCAAAAAAGACTTACTATATTTGAGGGGACAATAATTACATTATGAAATATGACACTGCCTTTTTAAGTCTTTTTCACAAAGACATGAACCTATCATTCTACCACAGTGAAATTGATAATTTCATTCAGTGGTGTGATAAGAACTGTCTTGTGTTTAATGTAAAAAAGACACAAGTAATGGTCCCTGACAAGAAGCGTTTCTGAACATAGGCCTGTGATTATTAAAGTGATACAGCAAGTTACATCTTACAAATACCTGGGGTTCCATATGGACAGTGTTTTTTGTTGGAGAACACACATTGATAGCTTATGCACACAACTACAACAGAGGCTTTATTTTTAAAGAAGGCTGAGATTATATGGGGTGGGTAGCAATATCTTGCTTGTTTTTTACCAAGCTATGTTTAAGAGTCTTATATGGAATCACAGTCTGGTTGGAAATCATAGAAAAAGAAAAGTCATAGAAATAAAACAATACGAGCCCATACAGACTCTATATAAACAGGCAGTCATGAGAAGAGCCATAATTAATGCTGATTCCAAACATCCTCTTTTCAGAGAATATCAGCTGTTACCATCAAGAAAAAGACTAAGAATGCTAATGTGTAAAACCAACAGACTGAAGCTTTTGTTTTTTTTTCCCACCTCGATAAAACTGTTGAAATAAAGTTTATCCTATTCTATCTGGTCCCTAAAATGTAAGGTACTAGACACACACACACACACACACACACACACACACACACACACACCTCTGAAAGTGGAGTTTCTATTGAGTTTTTTTGTGTTGATGATTTTGTCCCTTTATCTTGCCCTTAAATCTTACAGAAACCTTTCTACATTTTTTATATTTTCATTAAAACATATAATGTTTAAGGCATTTTTCACATGTAGTTGCTTTACATGTTTCAGTTTTTATGTAAATCCTATGGGGACTTTTTTATATTGTACAATGTATGTATTCTGTCCCTTTACCAAACCCTATACGCCTATACCCCTAAAGGGTTTTTGGGGGCCAAAATATTACCAAAAGGTCAAAAAAGACTATATTACTAAATTTGAGAGGGTAGTTGGTCCCCATAATGTAAGATACTAGGCCAGGGGTGTCCAAACTTGGTCCTGGAGGGCCGGTGTCCTGCATAGTTTAACTCCAACTTCCTTCAGCACACCTGGTTGGAAGTTTATACCTCAAAAGAGCTTGATTAGCTGGTTCAAGCGTGTTTAATTGGGGTTGGAACTAAAATATGCAGGACACCAGCTCTCCAGGACCGAGTTTGGGCATCCCTGTACTAGGCACACACATGCCTGTCTCTCTGAAGGTGGAGAGTTTACATTAAGTTATTTTATTATGATGACATTTTGTCGCTAAATCCTGTCTTTAAATCTCACAGAAAATTTAATTAAAACAATATTTTTAAGCAATTTTCACTTAAGTTTATGGGTTTCTGGTTTAATGTCATTCCTATGAAGACATTTGTTGTATATTGTACAATATGAGTATTCTGTCCCCTTACCCAACCTTACCCCTAAACACAACCATCAAAGAAAACATTCAACATTTTTTCTTAATCGGGGCCAAACATATTATCATAAGGTCAAAAATAACTCTATTACTAGATTTGAGGAGATAGTTGGTCCTCGTAATGTAAGGCACTAGGCACACTCATACACACCGGTCTCTCTGAAGGTCAAGTTTCCTTTAAGTTCTTTTATTTTGATGACATTTTGTCCCCTAATCCTGCACTTAAATCTCACAGAAACCTTTCTGCATGTTTTTATATCTTCATTAAAACAACATTTATAAGCCATTTTTCACATGTAGGTGCTTAACATGTTTCAGCTTTTTATGTTACTCCTGTGGGGACTTTTGCTTTATATTGTACAACGTGTGTATTTTGTCCTTTTACCCAACCTTTCCCTTAAACCATCACAAAAAACATTCTGCATTTTTCTTAATCGTTGAAACATATTACCACAAGGTCAAAAAAGACTATATTACTATATTTGCGGGGACATTTGGTGCCCATAATGTAAGGTACTGTACTAGGCGCGCACAGACAACCACCTTCAAAACACCTTTGCTTGAATGACTCTTTCTATCATCACGTTTTAGCTTCTTAGTCACTCTGAATCATCCTTCCCTCAATCTACAATAGCACGTATGATTAAGACATGTTAACACAGGGCAATATTTATATAAATATAGTGTCCTTGCCTTAATCCATTTTATTTTTAGTGGATCATCACACTTTCACACATTCAAATGTAACCCTGCTACTTACAAAATGAAATAAAACATGCTAATCTTATTTCACTGTGATTTAGTACTTAGTTGTTTATTTTTTTAATTTTAAGTGAACAAACATGAACAATGACATCATCCTGTCATGGGTGAGGATTAATTCTTTTGTTTACCAGAGCACCACAAATATGAAATTAACATATACACTGCCACCTGGTGTTTAAAGGGTGTTAAACTGCTACACACTCACTGTTGAACGATGAGATTTCTTGTTTTCGTAAAAAAGAAGAGCAGGAAGAAGTGACAAAGGTAAGTCTTTATAGAGGACACCGGGAAGTAGGTTAACAACTTCAGTTTAACTGGATATGGGCTACAGTGGGGAAATCATATGATCCCACCCATTTAAATAAAAGCTGATTAGAAAGAGCTGAATAATAATATAATGTTCCATATATGCGTTTTGGTGTTCTCTTTTTTTACAACAATTTGTATACTACAAGTTTTATTGTAAAGTATGTTGTTGTTTTTTCTGTTATGTTGGTATTGCAAACAACAACCACAAAACTATCACATAATAACCCTGCTTGAGTTGACAGTGGGTCCAAGACCATATTTCTACTACATAAAAAGACCTTTGTCTGTATTACTATAACAATAATAACCATATAGTTATCATTATTATTGTAAAATCAGAATTATTGGTTTTGTGTGTGTGTGTGTGTGTGTGTGTGTCTGATTGAATATTTGGATAGTTCTACAAGCTTTGTTTAATTTTTGGTTAATGAAACCTTTTTATCTACACTAGAATTGTGTTTTGATTATGTTTTCCTGTGAATCCATGGTTTTTGTAGAGTTTTACACTATTGCAATTTGCAGTAAACCAAAACTGGACTAAACTGTAAGGCTGAGATCTGAGAGGAAAACTTCCTGGTCTCTATTTTTGTCTAGGCATTGTGTTACTAACCCAACCCACACAATAGGCAAAGTACCAATTAATAGAATAATCGAATGGGTGCGCCATTTATTCACCTTGTTTTTAATTACAACTCAGATTACTATTAGAAATTTCCCAAACAAACGGAGCTCAATGGAATTCCCAAAGAAAATCTGACTATTTATGCACGTGATACGCATGCGCGTCCTGGGCTTCGCGCATGCGTATTTGCAATTTGAGTGTCTGATTACAGTGGCTTTGGGAATTCCCCAGGAAAACACCTACGCTGCCTTTTCTGGACAAACTAGAAAACAGTAAGCAGCAACTCAAGAGGTGAGCGATTTGTAGTTTTAGAATGCTCTGGACATGGAGGGAATCTGAGGCTTGTGCAACAGCGCTTGCCGCTGTTGTTTGGGAATTTGTCCAGAAAGAGCCCATCTTGTTCCCCTAAAAACATCAACAACCCGTCAGACGGAATCCACCTGGACTGAAGGCAAACGTCGCAAACACTTTTGTTGGTGAGGAAAGGAAAGGTAGTTTCTCTTGTTACGGCTGACATAATTGAAACAGCTGATTTATGTAAATGGAGGGGACGCAGGATATTCACGGTGAATCCCGGAGACAGAATGCACGGCCTGGACGCAGCGACGCTGTGGAGAAAAGGGGTGCCTTGGATTCTGTCTCAGAGGACTGGTGTGACAGCGGACTGGACTCCTTTAGCGGAGTCGGACTCAGTTTTGATGTTCCCTACGACACTTACACCGAGACCGAGCAGATGTGGACACCTGGACGGTGTGTGTCTGACATACGGGACATCCCGCCTTCGGATGCGCCCGACAATAGAAGCAGCGCGGACTGTGTGTCGATCGGCGGCGGAGAGAGGCTTGACTCTGCCATCGGGGACTCCATTAACGAGGATGCGGTGGTGGGGTGTCTCTCCGCCGGGATTGGTACTATGATCCTGAGCGAGCCCGCAGGGACAGACAGACAGGCGGTCACAAACACAGAGGAGGGCCGCCAGCGGAGGGAAGAGCTTTTCAACACGCTCAACTTTCTGTCGGAGGACGGGGACACGTAAGTTAAGGCTGTGCTGTCGTCTGGAGTGGACGGTTATCGGTTTTGTTGTCAGACTGTATATTTTTCTGTTTTGTTTTTCAGAGTACTTCATTTGGCGCTGATTCATGAGCAATGGGGTGTTGTCCAGTGCCTCCTTCAAAACATTGGGATGGACAACACCTGGATTCCTTACCTGGACATCCAGAATGACCTGGGCCAGGTAAATGCACAGTATTGCCAGATGCTTCTAGAATAAAACGAGCAAGCAATCTATTGATGAAAAGCAATTAGCTGTTAATTATTGGTGATCTGATTTATTTTGGCTTAAAACATTTGCAGTAGATTATTTAATTTGTGTGCCTATTATGTTTTCCTTAATTAAATCACCTTTAATTAAAGCTTTAACTGTGACCCTCACAACGTCTGTTCTCTGATAGGGATGTGCAATAATCACCAAATAGTTGGCTGCAAGTCTTTGTCAAATGAGTGATTCATTCAATCATTCATTCAAACAGTTCAGAAACACAGCAAGGGACTTTCTTTATGAATGAACCATTAAATCACAGGCTAATGACCAAAGTTTGTAAGAAAAAAAAAAGTTTTTTACAGCAACAAGTCACTCAAATGAACTCGGATTTTCTCATGTGCATCTAATCCCATTCATAATCCCAAATACACAATTTATCACTAGTAATAACAGAGACTGTGACAGACCATGTATATAAGTGGTGAACGGAGAAAACAATTAACTGGAAGTGACTTATAATAAGTGAATATAACAGCACTGATATGCCAAATACATTATGGATTCCATATGTCTAATAGTTCTTTTTCCACACTCTTTTTCTTCCTTACTCAGACCGCTCTGCATTTAGCAGTCATTGTCGACAGCAGTGAGTGTGTTCGAGCGTTATTGTGGAGCGGAGCCAGTGCAGAGATCCAAGAGAGGGGTGGAAACACACCGTTACACCTGGCTGTGAGAGAGCTGCGCACAGAGTGTGTGAGAGAGCTGACCAGCTGCTCACGGACACCACCAGAGCACCTAAACCTCACCAATTATGCAGGTACAGACTCGAGCAAATAGACTTATGTTAATCATTTTAAAGCATCCAAAGTGACTTTCAATAAATTGCATTGAAGGTTGTTGTAAGTTGCTTCTATGGTTATCAAAAAATTGCATTTTTATTTTTTAACACTCATCAATAGGCCTTTTACATTCATATTTTAATCACTTTCTCTGTTCATCTCTCTTTTCAAGGTGTAAGTGCTCTGCACCTGGCTGTATATAGAGGCAATTTTGATGTCATCAAAATGCTGCTGGAGGCAGGAGCAGATGCCAATCAACGGGTGAGAAAAATAGCATTCGATTTAATGGTGCAATATGTAGCTTTTGTCTCTCAAGCAGTTAATAGTCTCTGCATTCATCTCTATGGAGAACATTTGTGTTGATGAATGTGGTTTGTAGCACATATGTACACAATTAAAACAAGCTACATGGCTGGCTGTTAGGTTACAAGCCAATGTTTATTCAGGTGTTATTACAGGCTCTTTTTGTTTGGGGTTCATGTGTTTTTACAAGCAATGATTTGTTGTTTTGATTAATAATTGTCATGGTCATTAACTTTAATGTTGCCCCCACACCTTACATACACAAGAGTAACTGGAGCTATTTCTCTTTGTGTATGGATACAAAAAGTTACAGGCGAATGAAGAATGTATGCATTTTCCCACCAAATGCATCTTGACAGGTGTAAACTGAAATCACTAATACTACAGGGCTGTTTAATGCTTGATTTATGCTCATTGGCTGTTTAAAAATCTAAGATATTCAGTTATTTTCAGAGAAACACAAATCTAAAGTATTTTTAGGCAAGTATTAATATCATTACACTGAATGATTGTAGTTATTTCACAATAGTTCAAAACAATATACTTTGAGGTGCAGAAGAAACTAGCACTACACATAGAAGGATAGGATAGTTTGAGGATAAAAGCCTGACGAATATATCTTGAAATACAACATCTAAATAATGTCTTTTTTTTTTTTAGGTGTGGTAACCATAGTATAAGTTGAATAATTGACTTTAGTCTGAATCATTAGGAAATAATGCACACTCCACTGTGTGTCAGGGCCACATCATGTGTGTGCATTATTTTTTTTAATAATACAATAGCCCGTGTTCATGTATTCCTTCCTCATTATACGCTTACTGTGGTGATTCAGGGTACAACAGAAACATGGTTCAGAAGTTGTGATGGAGTCACTTTTTGAACCAAAAGTTACATAGTGTACTGTTAAATAAAGGGAAGGCTGATGTTTCGACACAGTGTCGAGATCCTGAAGCGCAAGAGTTTCAAAAAACTGCACCGACGCAAAACACCCAAGTCACGTGACTAAGATTATTCGAAACACCAGGTCACGTGTCTAAAGCGATTCAAAGCATTGGTTGTTTCAGAGGCATTTCGAGACTTGTCGAATCTCCGATTGACTGACGGTCAGAGAAACTATGCTGCAAATGGCCTGAGTTTGAATCCCGAATTGTACAAATATTCGGAAATTATGACTTGATGTATTTTAATAATGTTACTTTTTAATGACCAGAACAAGACATATTTATTCACAAAGTGTTAATTCGGATGTCAGATCAATGTTAAAATATATTGCGCTACAAGAACAGAACATTTAAAAACTAACATCTGTAGCTGCATCACCCTGGATTTGAACCCATTATCTGTGCATTCAATCCAGGAACTCCCAACTCTTCACTAAATCACTTGAAACTTCAACTCTACAACGTGAAGTTTAATAACTCAATTTGTTTAACTGTTTGTTTGTTGAAGCTGTTCCTAAGCAATACATGAAAATGACCATTAGGTGTCACTGTTGAGACAGGTTTTTAAAACGTTTCGAAGTTTCAACACATTTGATTCGACTGTTTCAGTGAAGCGGATTCATAAAGTCTCGCTTTGCCAACCACTAGTTAAATATACAGCCATATTTGTTTTCCTTTTCTTCCTATTCTTTCTTAATATATATATATATATATATATATATATATATATATATATATATATATATATATATATATATATATATATATATATATATATATATATATATAAAATAATGATTATCTTATTGACTTTGTAGGATCTGGGGTCAGGTCGGTCTCCATTGCACTGGGCAGTGGAAAGTCAGAAGCTAGAAACAGTGGAGCTACTATTGAGCGCTGGTGCATTGGTAAATCAGCGGTCGTATGCAGGCCACACACCCTTCTACTGTGCCCTTTACAGACCCAACAAAGATATCCAGACCCTACTCCGTGCCCATGGGGCCACTTACTCACAGGACGATGAAGAGGAGGAAGAATGCAGAGAGAGTGAAGAGGTAAAAGCCCAAACCACGCACATTTACTAGCCGAATGCCTTCAAATCTGCTTGTATACTCATCAGTTCTCATTCTGTCGCAGGAGGAGTTTGATGATGTCATCATTAATGGACAGCGAGTGCTGTAGCTGTAAAACATGGACACTGCTCTGCCATAGACCCTTTGAGCTCCAGCTGAATGATTGTGGTGTCTGAGTGTATCTGGTGGAGGCTATTCTGTATGTGTGTGTCTTTGTTAATGGTACCGTATGATGTCTGTATGCTGGTATTGGTTTAGGTTGATTGATTACATAGATTCTGTTTATCAGGATCAAAGTTATTTAAGCCTGACGTCACATAAAGCCTTCTAACAATGGAGGCAGCTTTTCATTTAATTAATTCATCAGATCATCTAGTATGTATCAGAATTAAAGGGATAGTTCATCTTAAGACACATATTCTGTTATCATTTACTTCAAACGCGTATGGAGAAGATATGTTGGGGTTATTTTGGAAGTGTTTTTTTGTGCGCACACAGATGTCCAATGTTTAAGCAACGTTCATCTAACATGTCTTACAGTAAATGTGTGTGTTTCAAATATGAAATGGTCAGTACGTGTTCAAGAGGTTGAGTAAATGATCCCTTTTTTTGGTTGAACTATCTCTTTAAGAACCAAATTAGCTAGAAGACACTAAACAGCGTGTCTATGCTGTATGAAGGCATCATGCAGCTGTGATGCCCCCACTATAAGGGATGTGTTGATGTACAAGATGAAAAAAAAAGGCTTTTTCCTTTATTTTTAAAGCTAAATTATTTGGCAGATTTAGGTGAAGAACTATTGAAGAGAAACACGAATGGTTTTTAATAAACTGGCTGAATTACTATCACTGCTAAACCAACTATTTGCTGTGTTTGAGTGGAGTGTCACTGTTTTCATTGTGACTTCCCAACCGTCTAATGTGTGTTTACAGTGGTTGTTTTTAATTCGCTTTTCTGTATAATACAATGGGTCTTAGGGGTCAAATAGGATAGACAAGAAGTGGACATGAGCAATGCAGGAAAGGATAGTTGGTCAGGAAGCGATTTAAAGCGTTTTATGCATAACTAAATAAATCAAATTACAATTTTAAAGAATTCTACAATAGAAATGACAACAGATTCACAACTTTGGATTAACATGCTGAAATTCTTGAACGTTGTTCACATTTCAGACTTCACTAAATGCAGTTACATGATCATATCGTCAAGAATCAACAACATTCCAAATTACATTAAATTTACACAATTCTTAAAGCATTTAAATTATATTTGAAATGTACTACTATAATTAAAAATATATATACTGATTTGATTTATTTTGTTTCCAATTGTTATTAAAGTAAAGATTTTTAGTCACTCACATGGGGGCATTAGGGTTGTGGACATTTTGTCACCGGTTTCAGATGTTTTATTTGGCTGAGTGTGAATATTTTTGGTTGATGATTGATAAAATGGACGCTCATTTGGAAATCAGGGCTCCTGTTCTACTTGTCCTCTGTGAGTTGACGGAATACTGTTGTGCAGAGCAAGTTTGTAATTGTTATTTGTCCACTGGGAATATGTCATTGATTTGACTTTATTCTTTCTGAAGCTAAGGTCACAGTAACATCCAGGAGAGTGGGAGAAGTAACATGTTTGGAGTAATGCAAGTCTGACCCAAGTCTTAAAGGTTTGAGTGGTACAGTTGCTTTAAGGGAAGTTGGATTTGTGTTTGAATCCATGTGTACAAATACATGCTGCACAGATTTCCTCTCACCTGTACTTATTTCTGTTTACTTGGTGATTGGTGAAATCACTGAAAAGCTCTTAGCAACCATAGAAAAGGACAATAAACAATAATAATGACGCAAAGACTGGTTTTACTTGTCTCGTGCTTATTAACACAATCGATCTCATCTAATTTCAAACATCGTAGAGTGTATTTAAGTGAGTGGTCACCAGTTTTAAACATCTCTATTTTCATACAGACATGTCCTTTATAAGTACTGTAAATGTCACCATGTAGATTTAAATACTGCATTTTAGTGACATTTTAAGCACTCGTTTTTTAGTATTAGAATTTGTATTCATAACCACAATTTTGATGTGCCAACATATTTCCTCAAGATTTAGAAAACAAAAAAATATGAAAGAAAATTGTTTTTAAGATACTAATTTATTACATCAAATTTCATTAAACAAATAATAGGAATCTGTTAAAGTTTTAAATTAAAAACTGTAGCCTATTGTCATTTATTAGGCAAATAACAAACTGGCCAGCACATTCAACTTTCCTCAGTCCGAATTTGGCCATTTGACTAATAAAAAAATGAAAACATAATAATGTACAGCATCATGATTTTTATAGCCTCTCTTGTAATAAAGTACATTTGAAAATTCATGGATAACAATAGCGATACTAGTATTTAAATGAATCTTATTATGGGTCATTATTTGTTTCAAGAGTAAGGTCCCAGATTGAGAATAAAAAAGACTTGTAAAATGCTTTCTCTATTTAAAAAGAATACAGTAGCAAAAGAAGACTTCAATTACATCAGATTGTATAGTTTCTTGCACAGCTGGACGTTGGACTCATGAAAATTAATTGTTTGCATTAGACAAAACTGATTAGCTGGAGTCACATGGAAGCGATACCTAACAGAAGATTAGTGGTCTTGAAGTCTTTTTCAATGGTGTAATTTTTACTATTTAGGATGACATAGCAGTCAAAATTTGACAAATGAGCTCATTCATTCATTCATTCATTGTCTTGTCGGCCTAGTCCCTTTATTAATCCGGGGTCGCCACAGCGGAATGAACCGCCAACTTATCCAGCAAGTTTTTACGCAGCGGATGCCCTTCCAGCCGCAACCCATCTCTGGGAAACACCCACACATACATTCAAACACACACACTACGGACAATTTAGCCTACCCAATTCACCTGCACCGCATGTCTTTGGACTGTGGGGGAAACCGGAGCACCCAGAGGAAACCCATGCGAAGGCAGAGAGAACATGCAAACTCCACACAGAAACGCCAACCAGCGACCCAGCGACCTTCTTGCTGTGAGGCGACAGCACTACCTACTGTGCCACTGCCTCGCCCAAATGAGCTCATGTACTGGACAAATTCTGAACTTTTGTCAATGAGGTCTTTTGCATTACGCAAACCCCCTGGCTATGGGCCTGAAATATCTGATAGACATACATTACCTATTATACGGAAAGTGAGGGCATATAATAAAAATGTTTACAATGTATAAAAACATTAATTTAATGAAGCATTAAATTGGTAGCATACACTGATTAAGCCAAAGCCAACCCAGTTTGCAAGGGATTGCGCACTCTGACATGAGGCACAGCTTGCTTACATCGCTATAATTGAACAGGACAAGCAAAATACCTCAATTTTGATTATAAAATAATTTAAATTAATTTAATTATACATTTATTGCATTTATAACACAGATCAGTGGACAATTATTGATTTTATCATACATCTTATGATAACCACTGAGGATGATGGCATCCCCTGACCACATGTCGTCCCTGGTACATTGACCATTACATATAATCAGCAAGTGGACAGAAAAACTTATTAAAGGCCTCATTTATATATGTATGCACACATGTATAACCAACCTGATTCCACCAAGAAGGACATGTTTCTGGCTTAACATCTATGTTGATCCTGGAACAACATTCCAATCAGCCAATCAGAATTAAGAGATACGGTTTATGTTAAGTTTAGGCTTACGGTTTATGCACTTCTACATGATTATCTAACTATTATTCCCCTCTGAATTTGGAAATAGTTTACATTTATGGTTGGGTTGATGTTCCAGAATAAGCACAGATGTTAATCCAAGATAGCATAAAACTTGGCAAATTCATGATGTGCATACATGTATATATAAATGAGGCCCTTGAAAAAGATTCTCTGTCCACTTCCAAGTCAACTCTACTAGTTTGAAATATGACCACAACACAATCTAAAGACAAAAAAAACAAACAAAACAAAAACATTGTGAAATCAAAATATGTGACCTTACTGAGGACAAAACACTTACACAGCAGTCTGTTCTCATCAAATAGAAGCTACATTGCCCATTATATTTCAGTACAGTGGTAAATGTCATCTCCTTGAAGTAGTAGTAGACGGAAAACCTAGACCAAAGCTCTTAATGACTTCTCAGTTACAAAAAACACTTGAATTTAAACAAACAACATGCTCATTTAACTATTTTTTGTATCTTTAGGTTTGGTCTTAAACATGACAATCAGAATAGCAAGCGATCCAAAACTAAATGCATTGTTGCCTTTTTTGATCTGGATCAAAAGACCCAAGCTACAAGTGTGCTCATATGCTAGTTCTCCTGAAAATAATGTACCCATCCAAGGGCTCCTAATAGTAGTCTTCTTTAAACAATAAGATATTTTATCCTTATTTACATTGCAAAAAGTGACCTGGAAACACTGCGAGATTCCCAGAGCGGTCATTGGTTCAGTATATATTTATAAATTTCATTAAGAGCTTAATGAAGAAAAGTATGAATCTCCAAATACTGCCTTGATCTGGCTATCACTCTTTTAAGTATTTTTCCCAATTAAACAACAGAAAAGCCCAAGCTTAAACCCATTTAGTGATATGATCGGAAGTTCTTCTCGAGCACGCACAGATTTACAGATGATCCAACACCAAACCCTGCAAACAGCGGTTCAGAGAACTTGGCCTGAAATCTGTGTATAAGCTCCATCGCCTCAGACACAGTGTAAAAAGACACAGATCCTCCAGCGTAATCCAGATACACACCGATCCGAGAGGTGCGAGGTGTACCAGGCAGATCTTTATCCATCTTATTGTGCCAAGCTGAGTATCCAGAGTCTGAGCACAGAAGGCTCCAGGATTTATCATTGTATCCAAGAAGGCTGTTGGAGTTCTTACCTTTGCGGCTGATGCTCTTGTAGGCAATTCCGATGGAAAATTCCCCATTCCACTCCGCTTCCCAGTAATGCCGCACTCCGCTGAGCGGCTCCTTGCACAGGATCTGACAAAAGCCATCAAATCGCTCTGGATGATCTGGGTAATACTGGGTTGTTCGCTTGCGGGTCACACGGCGGTTCCCGTCTGAAAGGACTAGCTCTTTATAGGCCGTGTTGGGGTCAAATGTAAGTTTACAAGAATCTGTGAAATTAAACAGCAGAAATTAAGTGAAACAGAGATCATTAAGTAATAATGTTATCATCTGTACAGTGAAGAGATTCATTAATGTGGAATTGTTTGTACACTCACATCTGAGGAAATCCGGTCTTGTTTTAGGATCTTGGAAGTCTGTTTTTATCTGAGCTGGAAATATAGTGTAAGCAACACATAAATGCATAGTTCTGTTCAGCCTTATTCAGTCTATATAACTAAAGGAGATAACTATAAGAACAGGCATATTAGCACCAACAACAACGTACAATAAAGATCTGTTTAAAAAAAACAATAGGTGACTGTCTTCACAAACGATGTTTGTTATGCTGGTTGAAAGTCTCTTCACATCCTGATAGCATAATTCATTCATTCATTTTCTCTTCGGCCTAGTCCCGTTATTAATCAAGGGTCGCCACAGCAGAATGAACCGCTAACTTATCCAGCATATGTTTTACGCAGCAGATGCCCTTCCAGCTGCAACCCATCACTGGGAAACACCCATACCCATGCTATATAATACACTACGAACAATTTAGCTTACCCAATTCACCTATAGAGCATGGCACCCGGAGGCAACCCACGCCAACACGGGGAGAACATGCACATGCATGGGGAGAACTCCACGCAGAAATGCCAACTGACCCAGCCGAGGCTCGAACCGGCAACCTTCTTGCTGTGAGGTGACAACGCTACTCACTTTGCACCGTGATGCCCCTGATAGCATTAAGTGGTCCAAATGTATTGATATTTGTATTAATATTCTGTGGAAGGTGTAGGACCAAGGCAATTTAATCAATGAATAAAATAGCTCTTATTCCAAAACTATTGTCCCACTGTGCCATTACTATTATTATTATTATTATTATTATTATTATTATAATTATTATTATGTACTGGACTCTTGGTGTAAACACGCCTTAAAATTCTTTATTTAAAAAAATCTAGAAACTGAGATATTCTCCTCACCAATCAAACGTTCTCCAGACCTCGGGATCAGGACATACACTGAAGTGTCACTCACTGAGAGGAAACAATAAATATAATAAATTAATATAAAATCTTTATGTATAAAAATAAATCTTTATGTACACTATCATGCACAAGTTTGGGGTCAATAAGATATAAAGGGGTGGTCCTCTATGACATCATATTTTAAACTTTATTGATGGGTAATGTAGCTGTGTAAACATAAACAACATCACTGAATGTAATATGCTCAAAGTTCAATGCAAAGGGAGACCTTGGCTTGGCAAATTTTGGGGACTGCAAAATAATACATCTGGCCTAGTGAGATCACAAATGCTTCAGGTTACGCGCATACAACACCCGCATTTACCACACTGAGCAAAGGGACATGGCCAGAGGCGCTGTACCGTTACAGCATAGGAAGCTAAAGTGGCGTCCAAACACTGCTATTTCCACAGAGCTTTTTCCTGTTTCTGTATTTGGGCTTCCAAAGGACACGACACAGTGCTTACAATTTAATTTTAAGTATGGATATAGCTCTAGCATTTGAAAAAGGACAGCTTTCAGAATATCTCCCAGTTCAGTGCTGGATTCGACTAAAAACTCATCAAAAAAGGAACAGTTGGAGCTGATCCACAAATCACAGCGCATTATGTTAGTCGACCAATCAGAGCCTCTTGAAGGCGCGCTTTCGGAGGAACTAGGAAACATGATTGTCGTTTTCATGTTAGCTTAGTAGCAGTATGATATTAAAGACATATGAACGAAAAACAAGATTTTTACAAATGAAGCATGAGCACACATTGCTTTGCATCTTATAAACAGAACCAAGCCTTAAAAATACACTCTGGAGCACCCCTTAAAAAACATTACTTTCAACAAGGATACATTCAATTGATCAAATGTGACTTTAAAGACCTTCATGTTAAAAAAAGACTTCTAATGTTGCACATTGATAGCAATAAGAAACCATTAACAGTCGAGTATATAACACCTTCTGCGTCATTGTTTGAATTTCATTCAGAAATTTGTCTGTAGCAATAGTAGATTTATCTTTTTTTGTCTGTCTAATGCAGAGTGATGTCTTCTATCTGTACTTTGTATAGATATAACAATAGTAAAAAAACAAGGTCATATCTTTTACTCAGCTTCTCCGTGAGTCTTCATGTTTACCTCGTTTGGAGATAATTCCCAGCTCTTTTTTGCAGATGTCGTCCAGGTGGTCTTTCATGTCAGAGACGCTCTTGGTGATCTCGCTGAAGGAGAACTCTGGGTTTATCAGAACTTTAGGTACCATGGGCTCCGGAGGGACAGACAGTGTGGGGAAATTCTGTACAAAAAATGAAGACACTTCAAATCAACGCTGAAAAGTAGCTTCCATGAACGTCCATCTCAAACAAAACATTTGCAGTTAGGCAGTTAAATCAAGTGATTTAACCTTTCTTAATGACAAAGAAAATGTTAAATATAAGAAGATGTAACACTTCTTTTACCTGTAGGAAGTGAATGTTGTCCTCTGTGTCAAGTATTAGACGTAATTCACCATCTCTCCTCTGAAGCTCCATGATCTCTTGTTCAAGTCTCTCTATGTATCCCTGAGCCTGTCAGTGCATTAAAGCTATTACAGTCAGTTTGTCTGAAACATATCAGTTATGTCCTTTTGTCCCAGTACTTGCATAAAGCTCAATTAAAGTGTAAAGTGCTTTAAATTTACTGAGATGAATGCATCACTTCCTCATTCATATCTGAATGCATTGTGTATTTACCTGAGCCATGGAGGCTTGTAGATTAGCCTGTATGAGCTGGGTGATCTCAGCGTGCCACCGCTCTACTGCCTGTTGCATCTCATTGAAGATTTTATCACTGTCAGTCTGGGCCCGCTGTGCATTTCCCTTCAAAGAAAGTGTGAAAATCAACAACAGCATGCATCCACATAGCCAGGGGGCAGCACAGAGCACAAACGATAGAAGAACTGGGACATTATTGTTGGATCTGAAATCACATACTGTCTGAATAATAGGTACTACATTTGACTGTGAACTTACTTCACAAAAGGTTTTTATATAGTATACAATAGGGAAATATACAATTTTGGAATTCTTATTCATATGGTACATTTAAGTTTATATATATATATATATATACATATTCATACAACAGTTCGGTCTGGTTCTCGAATTAATTGGCTGATAGCCATGCAATATTCTTCAATATCAGAAGTCATACAGCCTCTTTACTCTTGTGTATTACTCCGCCTACACCAGTGAAAAGCAGAGGCCTACAATGTACTTTTGAGGCTTTTTTAGGCGAGATTGTAGTTGTTTTGTAGCAGAGCAAAGACGGTTGACGTTGTCCATTCACAAGATAGCAAAAGAGACCGCATAATAATGTTTGTTTCTAATGCGTCTTTTGTTTTCGTTACTGCAGACTAGTCCAGTAAACAGAAAGAAAAACTAATTGCTTGCATGTGTTAGAGTTTTTCCTTATTGCAAACACAACAGTAATCTGGTTGGGTTTGCAATGCTTTGACTTTTACAGAGTTAATTATTGTGATCTTTCGATTGCAATAGAGAAATACTGGGAAATCTCTGTAGACTGATGGAAATTTCATGCTGTTCAGCCTTATAATCTTGAAATATGAGCAAAATCACCGGTTTTGTCATCACTTTAGATATTACGCTAGAGAATCATTCAAATACTAGCTCTAAAGTGATGTTGGTAAATTAGTAACAGTTTCTGCTGTTCTAACATCAGCTGTAGATGAGTGGTTGAAGAAAGTAGTTCCTTATACAAAATAATTTTTAGACTCTCCGTGTTTGATTTTTTTTTTATGTACACGATTATGCCGTCGAACTGTTGTATAAACGCAACATCACACTCGTAGCAGTGCAAAATGGCTGTATATCATCACTGGTGGGGCACTAATGCACTCTTAGTAATTGACGAATAAAACAACAATGCTGGACTAGTGTTTCTTTACAAAGTGACATTGCTTTAAATGCATAATATAGCATGTGAATGAGAACTGTTTCAAAATCACAGGAATACTTTTCTGTTTTTAGTACGTTGTTGTTATATATTTCCACGAGCAATAATCAGTTTTTGGATATAATTTTTCTAGTTACTATATTTTTAGTAATCTTTTTATGGGTAAAAACTGACCAGTAATAATACATGTCTAATGGGTGCAGTTAAAAAACACTGAGTTATAATCACTTAAGCTGAATAATAATGAGACATGTTTGATCACAAAGCTTGTTTAGGTCAAACCTTAAGGACTTCTACGTTGTGTCTGAGTTCTTGAAACTCTTTCATTCGATCCTGAATAATGTGCTGAACCTTCGACTGAGTAGCCACCAAGATTTTCTGCAACCACACAAAGATTTGAGACTCATTACATTGCAGGAAATACATTTATCCACTATAGCAATTGCCAATTTGCCTTCAATAGACAACCCTTTGCACCGCCCCATCCCCTTGTTAATTGAAATTTGAGAGTAGCAAAAGCCTTTAAATGCTATCTGGAATTGTCTTTTAATAGGAGCATTTTTCTCATATGTTTAGAAAATGCTCATTTTAAAATATATTTTAAAATGACATTTAGAGGCTTCAGCGACTTTTAAAATGTTATTAAAATATTGATTTACTCAAACCCAAACCTAATAAACATTAAATCCAGAGAAACTGGACTCTTTATTTTTCTAAAGCTGTGCACTTTATTTTATATCATTAGAAGTTACTTTTTTTTGTCACAAAGGATGCATCAAAATCAAAATATTCAAAAGTGACACCAATCTGAAATAAAAACAATACAAATGACATTATAAAAATGTTTTTACAGTTGTTTCAATTTATTATTATTATTATTATTTTTAAACACTTTTTGAAACAATTACATTTATCTTGAAAACACTGTATGGTAACAAAAATGCCAAGTCATCCATCTGGCCAACAAATACTGCAATTAATCCAACAAAAAAAAAAGGTTTTAAACGTTTGTTGCTTTATTGCTGTATTTGTTGGCCATAAAACAGTTTGGACAACTTTCCTAGATTTGATGTCTATGAATCTTCCAGTTTATTCCAGTTAAAATTTCTCCCTAAAACAACACTGACAGAGAAAACACACATTTGTGTAATAGGACTTCTCCAATATGATCCATGTAACACCTTTTGAAGTTTATTCGCAACAAATATAATCTCTTCGCATCTCACCTGTTTCTCTGTGCGTTCATCATCTGCACTGACTATGTTGTGGCTGCGATGTTCTCTGACTGTACACAGCACACAGATGCACATCTGATCAGAACGACAGAAAAGCTCCAAGCCTTTTTCATGCTGTGGGCAGATCTTCCTATCTAGGTGTCCCGTCTCATCCACAAGCTTATGCCGTTTAAATGTGGTCGACTCGTAATGGGGCTTAATGTGCGTCTCGCAGTAATAAGCCAAACACACCAGACAGGACTTCACCGCTTTGCTTCGACGACCAGTGCAGAAATCACACAGTGCGTCACGCTTGAAGTAAGGAAACGGGTTGGGGTCCCGAGGAGGCGGCTGAGGCTCTGGGTTTCCTATGTGGGGAGCATTACGTCTGAGGATGGGACGAGGAGTGAAGGTGGTCTGGCACTGCGGACAACTGTACACGCCGAGGTGGTCAGAATGGTCCCAGTAGATCTTAATGCACTCCAGGCAGAAGGTGTCTCCACATGGGATGGTGACGGGGTCCCGGTGGGTGTCTGCGCAGAGAGGACAGGTGTAGTCGATTTCGGCCATGCTTTAAAAAAACAGGTGAACTGAAAGAGCACATAAAGCAGGAACACACCTGCATTTATATGAACGCTGAGGGTGGAGGTGCTGAAGTGAGCTGAGCATGTGTGTAAACACGAGATGAGCTGGCATGAGGGTTTCTGAGCCAAATATCTTACAGAAAGTCACTGATGGTCAGCATCATAGTATCATGATACAACCAAAGCCAGATTGCACTGGTTTGTTTCTTTTTAACTTGTAACTAATCCCCAGTGGTGGAAAGAGTACTAAAAAATCAAACTCAAGTAAGTATCAATACTTACCTAAAAATGTAGTGCAAGTAGAGTAAAAGTATCTGTTGTAAATATTACTTAGAGTATGAGTAAACGTAGACCTTTCAAAAGTATTCAAGAGTAGTGAGTATCACGCTGTAAAAAGCTGATTTGTATCTAATTTGTGGATGTGTAAACGTAACATTCTGTAGTGCATTTAATTCTTGCTCAGCAGACACACAATGTCATAAAACGTTATTATTAGGTTGGATTTAGGTTGTGAGGTCAGCTGACCAGTGTCTTAAGGACACTGTTATTTTAATGTCCAATAATGATGTCAAATGACGTTGATATTTGGTTGATTTTAGGTTGTGTTGGAAAGTGACCAAAATCCAACGTCGAGCCAACATCTTAAACCAACATCATATTGATGTCAAATACTGACATTTATTTGTCAGGTATGGCAACCAAAATACAACATCTAATAAACGTCGTAGTTTTAACGTGCACAGAACATCAAGCTGTAACATCATTAGACATTAATATTTGGTTGTTTGAAATTGGACGTTTTCTAATTCCCATAGACAAGAAAAAGTAAAGTAATGACTGCGAGTTGAAGAAAAGTAGTGGAGTAAAAGTACTGATACAGCACTAAAAATGTACTTAGGGGAAAGTAAAAGAACACATTTTTAAAAATACTAAGTAAATTACAATTCCTAAAGAAAAAATACTCAATTACAGCAGTTTGAGTATTTGTAATTTGTTACTTTACACCACTAATCCTGTAATCTAGAGTTAAGCCACCACCATTGTACAATCCCCTGATGTTGCACCTCCAGATATGCACTCATACAAATTGGGATCACTAGATCATATCAAACGTACACTTTTGAACACAACTACAGTATGATTACATTACTGCATCATTTACAATAGTCAAGAAACAACATAACAACATGATTATGGAATGTGTGAAAAAAAAGTGTACGACAACTGACAAATGGTGGTATCAAATTGTTTGTAGTAAGAAAAAAACAACAACAAAAAGAAGATAAATAGCGTGGATTAGAAAAAAATTTGAAAGTAAGGCTTAGGTGTTTTTAAATGTAACTGTTAATGAGAATGTGCAAGAAGTTCATCACACAGCCTGAATAACCTCTTATAGTGAGTGACGCTCTGTGATTTTCAAATATTGTAGTGTTAGAAGAGAAAGTTTGAGATTTAAAAGAAAAAAAATCTAAGATTCTCCTAATGTGTGTGTGCTGCAATCAGAATATTAGTAAGGATTTGAAAAACTCCTCTGGTGTGATCTTGTCTAAGTCATAATAGGTTTGAACATGAAAACAATTTTTTTTTATTTTAGCATGAACAAAAAAATAATAATAATAAAAAAAATGTTAAAAAAAATAAAGAAATTGCTGCTTCTTCAAACTACTTATTTAAAAATGAGCTGAATCAACACAATTCCTGAGTTTTTTTTTTAGAGACAACTTAATTATTTTATGTTCAACCCACTTAAATTTGTAAAAACAATTTGGTTAACTTAATCAATTACTGTTGGGACAACATGGAAGAATTGAGAATTCTGTGCAAGCCAACATTTTTTACATTGCTTTAAACTTCTTACTGTTCAAATTCTAACAATTAAAACTCGCAGGTAGCCAAGCCACCTACTCTCTCTCTCTTTCTCTCTTTCTGTGTGTGTGTGGGATTGCAAAGATGCACTGCAGTGAAATGAGAGACTGTTTTGTCTGTAAATATGGAAACTGGTTGGAATAAATTGGCCCAGTTCAGTGCTGGCATTCTGTGAGTAAACAATGATGGCACAGGGTGTACTGTAAACACCAAGCCTAGTATCATGCTGGTAACACACAAACAAACACACATGCTGGACGTGAGAGAGAAGAGTGAAGGTCAAACTGCTTGGGAAACTCAGCACAGGTTCACAATGACAGCTCTTCAGAGAGATTTTAAGGTGGAAAATGGGAGAAGAGCCATTATTTAAAAAATAAAATAATTTGATTTAACATCTCAGAATGAGTATTTCATATTTGCAGTTTTAGTACTGTAACACTATTGTAACCACTGCAAATCCATCGGTTAAACACAACATTATTGTGCTACTATAGGGTCCATGACAACAACTAAGATGGCAGTCACAAATCAGCTGAAGAGAATGGTCTTCACCCCTCCTGCTCTTACTCCCAGTTGTGGCCAGAATTAAATTGAAAGTTTTGAAGCTGACTTTTAAGATTACCACTGCATTCACCGCTACAAATACATACTTCCTCTAAACAGCTAAAGTTACGTATTGAGCAATGAGGGCTAAATCCCCTCATATCCCCTCTGAGAAAATATCATCTCTGGTGCAGCTGAAAGCACAACTTTTCTACTAAGCCACCCAGCACTGTTAATCCAAGGCTTACACACACATATTTAACACACACACACACACACACACACACACACACACACACACACACACACACACACACACACACACACACACACACACACACACACACACACACACACACACACACACACACACACACACACGTTGTTATTGGTCGTTTATTTGTCTTTCGGATGAGATGTTAAATCGAGGTCTTGACTCTCTGTGGTCATCAAAAATCCCATTTGCCCAATGGCCATCATGGCCTCCTAACTACCCCCCTATTTTAACTGGCCTCATCGCTCTGTCTCTTCTCCACCAATCAGCTGGTGTGTGGTGTGCTGTCTAGCACAAAATGGCTGCTGTCATGTCATCCAGGTGGATGCTGCACCCCCCCCCCCCCACCAAAAAAAGGATGTAAAGCGATTAGAGTGTCCAGAAAAGCGCTCTATATATATATATATATATATAAGGGTTTATTTTATTTAATGTATTTTAAATTGTGGCATAATGTATTATACACCCACCCTAAAACCCAACCCACAGATGAAACCAGCAGATTTTAAAGGTCCTCGTAAACCACCTTGAAATTCCTATGTCATACCCATGTCATTATATGCCTTTCTGTCATAGTAAACCACCAAAACCATTACACACAAACAAACTCTGGCTTTGTTCTCTTGAGTGGTTTTCTATTTGCCTAATGAACGAACCGCATTGTGCACAAAGATTGTTTGTTCTTTTTTAAATTGTTTTGTGTCTTTTTTTGTAAGTTGCTTTGGAAAACGCAATCAGCTAAATGCTTAAATGTGACATGAAATATTAGTGAGTAGATATAGAGAAGTGGAAGGACAATCCAGCCTGAGACTTTTGCCTAAATTGGTAAAAACAAACTAGAAAACCCTGTGTGTGTGTGTGTGTGTGTGTGTGTGTGTGTGTGTGTGTGTGTGTTTTACTTTCATTAGTTTAACTTGACAAATGACTTTAATAGTTTTCATCTGTTTTAGTATCCAGCTTATTTTAGACCACAAAATAAATGTCATTTATTTGGAAATTGAGATTTATACATCATCTGAAAGCTGACAGTTTGTTAGGATATGACAATATTTGTCAGATGTGTAACAATTTGAAAATCAGAAATTGAAGGGTTCGAAAGATATAACAAAAAATCTAAATACTGCAAAAATAAAATAAAATTAAGCTATTAGCTGTGCAACTTAATAATTGACAGTACTAATTTCAGTATAGGCCAGGAAATCTATTATCTTTATGGAACATGTTGTTTACTCAATATCCTAAAGATTTTAGTATAAAAGAAAAATTGGTAACACTTTATAATAACTAAACAATATGAATTATTTATTAAGCATTAGCATATAGTGAATTCATTATTTGTAAAGCATTGACCCCATTAAGAAACGTTAGTAAGCAGTTTATAACTGCAGATACAAATCCTCTATTCTTAACTTAAAAGCACACGTATAATGTGTTTAATGATAGTGTTTTCATACCCTGTTAATGATTTATTTTTCTTGACCTTATTTAGTATTGCATTATTTACAAACCATGTGTACTTAGTTCAGGGTTTTTAAGATCACTCAGAATGAGTAAGTAAATGATTAATAAACTATTGAAATCAACATTTATATATCTTTTTATTTAGGTGTATAGTAATGGTTAATATGTATGTTAACGAATGCTTTATTAACACAACTTCATGCAGTTTTGTGATCTAATTTAAAATGAGGACTATTTATGGTTTATAAATATCTCTGCAATCCTATCTAAAAAAAATATATTACTGTAAAAATTGGATAAAACAACAACAATATAATAATTTAACAACATATTATGTTATTTAGCGAATAACAGTAATTTTAATTTAAGGTTGCAAAGATTTATTTTTTCATTTGATACGGTTTCATTTGTGTGTCTTCAAATGAATAGAAATGAATGAAGTCGTTTATTTTCTTTTTTCCTGTTTATAATATCACTAAGCCTTTAATTGTAATTTATAAGGGATTTATAAAATAGTAATATAGTCCTCACTTTAGATTAGGTCACAAAATTACATGAAGTTGTGTTAATAAAGCATTTATTAACATACACATTACCGATAATTATATGCCCGAAAAATAAGATATGCATGTTAATTTCAATAGCTTATTAATCATTTACTAACTCATTCTGAATAATCTTTAAAAACCAGCAACTTCCCTCAAATAACTGGTTTGTAAATGATGCAATACTTAATTTAGTAATGAAAAATAATAATCAACAAAGTATGAAAACACAATCATTAAGCACATTATACATGTGCTTGTATGTCAAGAATAATAGAGCTTTTGTATCTGCATTTATAAACTGCTTATGTTTATTAACGTAGGGTTAATGCTTAACAAATAATGAATTCACTGTTTGCTAAAGCTTAATAAATGATTCATACTAGTGTGTAGTTATTATAAAGTGTTACTGAAAAATCTATCAATCTGAAGCATACAATGTATATAATGTAACTGTGCAGATTTGTGGTCCAAGATCACATTTCTCAATTATAGTGTAGGTAGCAATTTGTTTGAAACTGGAAGTCTTGTGCTCTGAAACTTAAACATAAAGTGGAAATAATAATTATATTATTTCTGCTTCCATGTGCATTCACAATGGTGTCCGGGTGGGAGCGATAAAGGATGCTGAGCCACCATCTGGATGAGGTGCCAGACCTGCACTTCAGGGAAAACACACATTTTTGCACACATTACATAATACTCCCTATGAAGTGAACACTGCATGCATACTCCGTTGCTTTGTTGCTAATGATCCTTTCTCTTATATGAAGCAGTTAAATGCTTGTGTTCACAGGGACCAGAATATTGACGGAATGATTTACCCAGCTCCATCGCAACCAGACTTCAGGATGTTTTAATGCGTTCAAACAATTTTAACAATTTACTCATTTCAAAATCGAAACATTATTAGTAAACTGTTTGGTTAGTTTGTGAATAAAAGCACCGTTTCTGAATGCTCCTATATTCATGCCTTTAGAATTAAACAGTTTTGAGCTCTTGCCTCCACTGCTCTCAAAATATGTACACGGCTCAAACATCTTTTAGAGTGCTTTTCCCATTTGTCATTCTGTATGAGACTCTGGTGTACGTGGGTAAATATTTATAAAGCTTTTGCCAGCTTGTTATCTTTAGCATCAAAAAAAACAAAACAAACCACAACGGCCGAATGGAGGTTTTTAATGATTTTGACCTTCAGAATTCATCCATCTTCTTGCTCTTTGTAGCCAATGTATGTCACATGCTCTGCTTCCAGCACACTGTAGAGGGAGCTCTTATACAGCAAATCTGTGGAAGGTTTGTTCATTATTCAAGGTAATTTCTGGTTTAAATGGATGTACTGCCTCAAATAAAAATGGATTGTACTTAAATCAAATATAAATACTAAAGTAGACTGATTATATCACGTGCAAAATGCTACTTATGTTCATCCGTGCCGTTTATTGCAATGCATTTTGTATTTTGTGCTTTATTTTAATAAGCTGCATAATCGATTGCAAAATTAAGTGAAATGTAATGCTTGTAAAATGCTAGCAAAAATATAGTTTCCTAGCTATTGCCAAAGGCATACCACCCTAGACCAGTGGTTCTCAAAGTGGGGGTCAGGACCCCCCCAGGGGTTGCAGGAAAATCTATTTATTTTTATTAAACCATAAGTATTACCATATTTTGTCCATAACCTACTGAAAAGAAAAAAAAAATTGTTGTTTATAGTTACTAAATACTGTATAGGTACTATAGTAGTTTATAGCTATTAGTTCTATTGGATTGTGACCCCTGGGATAATTACGTTATATTAAAGACACTGCAATAGCTCAGATGCAGCAGATTGATTTTATAACACCAGGTTAAACTTTCTGGCACATTTACAACACTGACATAGGTTTAAAAAATTCAACAAAGAATAGACTTGGGTCTATGGGTGTGTGTGCACCATTGCATGCAAGGTTTCTGTACTTATAACCACCTCAGAGGATATTGGGGTCATGAGTCACTGGCATTGTTATTGTGGGTTCGCGGGCTGATAAGTTTGGGAACCCCTGCCCTAGACCACCCAAGACCAGTTACTCACTTAAGTTAAGCAGGGTTGAGCCTGGTCAGTACCTGGACAGGAGACCACACGGGAAAACTTTATTGGTGTTGCAAGTGGTGTTAGTGTGGTTAGCAGTAGATGTTCATTCTGTGGTCTGTATGGGTCCAAATGCCCCAGTATAGTGAAGAGGACAGTATACTATCAGTGAGCACTGCCTTTCAGATGAGACAATAAATCGAGGTCTTGACTCTCTGTTGTCATTGAAAATTCTATGGGATGTAACCTTGGTGTCCTGACCAAATTCTCTCCATTGGCCCTCATACCCATCATGGCCTCCCAATCATCCCCATCCAGCTAAATGTTTCTATCATTATCTTACATTACTAAAAAAATGTTTCTTGATCATTGCATGTGGATTTAATACCAGTCAAAAGTTTGGGATCTGTAATTTTTTTGCATCACATCTTACCAAGCTTGCATTTACTTGATCAAAACACAATAAAAAATAAACAAATAAACTTAATACTGTAAAATGTATGTACTCAATGTAAAATATTTATTTTCAGATTCTTTAGTTTTAGATTTACAAATTTCTTCAGAAACCATAAATTATTACTGGCACTTAATCATTATTATAATCATCTCTCTGCTCTACAATCTCCAAAATCTGTATAATTAATGTCCATATCAAGTCAAAAACATTTTTTCATTAATTTTTCTTTGGCTTAGTGCCTTATTCATTAGGGGTCACCACAGTGGTATGAAAACTATTCCAGCATATGTTTTACACAATGCAGATCCTTCCAGCTGCAACCCAATACTGGGAAACACCCATACAAAATCACATTCTCAAATGTGATATGATGAAGTGCTATCATATATTTAATAAAATATAATATTATATTATGTTTTTTGCTCTGGACACAATGTAGCTGTGTTTGTTGCCTTTGCCTTTAATGCAAGTCCTTTCTGCCCACCGTTCCCAAGTGCCAGTCAAAGTGTGCCTCAATTTCCGCCTCGGCTGTGTCAGATAAACAGCACAGTGACAGACATGAAGGAAGCAGATCTCATGTAATGTTTGTGAAAAATAATACAGTAAGAACTTTCCCAATGGTTTATTGATGTATTTGTTGTGAAGTTGCAACGATGAGTCGCACACAATGTCCTCACGAAGTACATGTACGCACACACACACACACAGCACACGCGTATAACCATGCACTGTTTTTGCACGGCAAATGTGACAGGATAAATGTTAATATCCACTGCTGTATGGAGTATCCGTTATGTTCACTCATTTCTTTTCTTTTTGGCTTAGTCCCTTTTATGTTTATCTGTTATGATCACAGTATACTGCTTTACTAGTATACTCCGTTACTACGGGGACATGTTAATATGCAGCTGTCAATCAATTCGGTGGGCGGGGAAACCACATTCCTACATCAAGTTGCAGTCGGTCTCAAAATGGGAGGAATTTGGATCCTATTTAAACATCAGGAAATTAAAAAAAAACACTTATTGTGTATTTATTACCCCAATATGACTCTGGACAAACTATACCTACACACAGTTCTGTCCAAACAACTTACAAAAGATGATTTTCATCATAGGTGCGCTTTAAATTACCACCTTGTGACAGAAACAAAGCTAGGGCTTTCATGCACACAAATGTTCTCGTAATAACTGCAACTTGACCAAATTCCAGTTATTTCAAGAACATTTGCATGTATGAAAGCTAGCGTTCTTTCCACCACAAGTTTTAAATTTAACTTAAATGAAGTTATTCACTTTAAAATTTACTTCTAACCTAATTTTTTTTTACCTGTGCTAGAAAAAACCTTCAATACAACTTAGTTAAAAGTATGTTGTTATGTACATTTGAAAATGTATGGCATCTTGACTCTCCATTCTTGGCTTTTAAAGGGATAGTTCACCCAAAGAAAATAACAAGTTTACTCACCCTTAAGTGGTTTTAAACCTTATATTGTTTTCTTTATTCTGTTGAACACAGAAGATATTTTGAAGAAAGAAAACCACTGACTTCCATAGTACACTCTCGGAAATAAAGGTACATGAGCAAACCCTTTCTGGGGTTCAAATACACACTTGTACCTAAAGGGTCCATGGTAATAACTTAAGGGTACATATTAATACCTAAAAAGTACAAAAGTGTACCTCTTAAATTTTTTAGGTCCAAATATATTATTTTTAAGTACAAATGTGTGTCTTTTAAAAAGGTCCCACTCCAATGACAGCTTGTGTACCTTTTTTCCGAGAGTGTAGGAAAAACAAATATGGAAGTCAATGGTTACATTTTTTTCAGCTGACATCAAAATGTGTTATTTTGTGTTCAACACAAGAAAGAAAGTAAAAGCGGTTTGATCCAAGTAAAGGGTGTGTTAACTATTATAGAATTGTCCGTTTTGAGTGAACTATTCCTTTAATGCAATATCCTAGAAAGCACAAAATATGTGGACAGAAACTACATCTACTGTTTCTCTACTCAAGGCAAGTCACATTATCCCTGAGTGTGTCTTTCTCTAAGTGCTTGCGTTATCGGTAAGTGGTGAGTCGCATTAGACAGAAATGCACAGAAGCCATTAGAGTAAATAACATTTGGAGCATCACAGCAACAACATGCGTGCACATGTGTGTGCAGATCACTATAACCCTCTGAAGGGACTGATGGAAAAGGGCGTGGCAGGAGAGAGAGCGAGAGACAAAAGCAAGGACAGGAGGAGGAAAGAAAAACAAAGATGAAGAGTAAACAAAAAGCTAAGTAATATCTAGTCAGCAGAGGACAAAGAAAAGGGTCACAAAGGCAGAAAAAAAGAGGGAAGACAAGAGGACGTGTGCCAGAAAGAAAAGAGAGAGAAGAGCAAATGATGTCATCAGTGCTGGGCTGTGCTCTCTCTCCTCCCCTCAACTTTACGTCATTCTACACACACACACACACACGCATACACGCACTTAGAAGAGGCAGACAGGAAGACGGAGCAACAACACACACCCACATTCAGCATCCTTTCGGAGCAGCTTAGCATCAGCATCCAAGACTGTCCACCTCTGTCAGGTAGGCTAATCTCTCCTGCTCATTCACTCAAGAATAACACACACCCATCCGGAAGTGTTTTCTGTATGCAGTGTCTACAAGGTCAAAAAGAGTTTTAAATTATGCACGAGGTATACTTAACGCTTGTTTGTTGAGGTCAATAGAACATGGGAAATATGCTTAACAGACAGAATGAAAATGAAAGAATAGAGCATAAAGAAGCTGCTTGTTACATTTATGCGATGAAGAAATATATGGATGATTGCAAGAGCCTGCTCATTTCTAAAAATGCAAGAGATTTGTTTATTTTTGAGGTATTTTGATTCAGTATTTTCTTATGTTCTATTCTTTCATATCCTTGATTCTTTCATGCTGCCCAAAAGTTAAGATTAAGATGCTATAATTGTAATTTTAAAGATTTAAAATACCCAATATTATAAAAAGAAAGAAAAACATGCTTATTTTAAGATGCTTATTTAGTTTTACAGATTTGAAATACCCAATATTATAGATGAAGAAAGAGACAAGGAATTAAAAAAAAAAACAAAACTTTAATTAAGATTTAAACCTCAGAGAGCAAAACACCATCAGATCATCAAACATCAACAATAAAATAATACCATCTTCACAAAGCATACATAAAACTTCATCACACACAGTTTACTGTATATTGAAAATAGTTCAAGTAAATTCCCTGTGAGTTGATGAAATTTATATTCCATTATGATTTTAGACTGAATCAAAGCAATATAAAAATTCCAAAATCTCTATATTTTCTCTTTAATAGCCACTCTACAAGTTTTTAAGAGAGAGAGAGAGAAAGAGAGAGCGAGAGAGAGAGATTTTTTAAGATTTAACAAAACTTTATTTTGCCTTTTTAAAAGGCAATTGAAATACAATGAGTATATAATCATTAAAAAAACATTTATGACAATTTTGACAATTGCCAACATGACAAGGTTTTGACAATTTTTTTAAACAATTCAGAAAAAGATACACTTTCACCTATAACAGTACACATCTTTCCATCTCAACTCCAAATATCTTTCATTATTGTCCATCAATCTATAATTAAATTCTAGGCATATTCTAGTCCTTATTTTGCATTTTTAAAAAACTATAGAACATCTTTGTTCAATTTTCCCTTTTTCTTGTTATGTAAATTGTTATTTTCGCTTTTCCTTCCAAATAATTTACTATTTTACAAACATTTGTTTTTTCTCCCAATTTTTACTCCCAAAACGAAACAAACATCAGAGAAAATTTCTCAAAACAAAACAAACAATTCTTTCAAAAACTCAAATAATAAAAACAACCATTCACATTTAAGAAAACAATGAAAAATTGTTTCTCTACAATTACAAAATGGACATAAATCACTAACATCAGAAATAAAATAAACACAAAAGCATTTTCAGCAACAATACCATGGAGTATTATCCACTGAACCCGCTTTGTCAATAGTGGTTTATGAATTGCTTCCCATACCGGCATTATTTCATCTTTAACTTTCGGAAAATTTTCTCCAAGGTAAATCAATCCTATTTTTTTTTTTTTCCTTTTTTTAATACTTTAACGCTGAAAGAATAAATGCATTTTTCTCCAATATAATTAAAAACAGTGCGAACATCACTTCGATAATTCAGAGAGAAGAGAGAGAAAGAGAGAGAGAGAGAGAGAGAGAGACTGGAGCTAATTTAGTAAAGTGGAGCTCATTACATTTTAGCTTTTAGTGTAAGTAATGTACATCTCTCTCTCTTTCTCTCGCTCTCTCTGCGGCAATTAGCATGACATTTATAAGCAAGAAAGATGTATTGGACATCAGTAATCCTGGGTGTATCATTACAGCACCACGGCAGCTTTAATGTCGGTGCATACCAGCAAACACACAAACATTATTACGAGAGGTCATGCTGTATAGATGTATAAACAAAGCTTTAAAGTCTTCAGTTAAACTGTAACTGTTTATATTATTATTTTTAAAATACATTAAGTGGCAACTTTGTGCAAGAAAATATGGTCACTGACACCAAATTTCTGACATTCAAGAAAAAAAGGTTTGCTATGATAGATGATCAGGTGTTTAGGTGTTTGGATGTGTTTTTACGAGAGGGGTCTGGATGCAGACCTGGTGCAATCTGGGCTGCATCCAATGCTTTTTGATGCGCTCACCTAACCCCACCCCTAACCCTACTCATAACCGTGACGTCAATCTCTCTATTGAGTGCATTGTGTTTGGCATTGCATCGCTGAGTGATGCAATCTCAGCTTGCATCATATATGCTGCATCCAGATATTATTGGTTTTTACAGAGCTTAAAATATAAAACCTTACAGCAAAGCTGCTGTTTACATGCAGTGTTGTAATTGTTAAAAGGTACACTTTAGTACCTTCTAGTGGTGAATAAATAAAACTGCATGATATTTGCAGAAAAAAAGCATTGTTTTGGAAAAGTAAAAAAAATGCAGTATTATATTATATTATATTATATTATATTATATTATATTATATTATATTATATTATATTATATTATATTATATTATAATATATTATATTATATTATAATTTATTATATCATATTATATAAATAGTAAATACAGACCTGATAACTAGATAAGTTTTGATAAAAAGATTAGATAAGTTTTGATAAAAAGATTAGAAAACATTTAAATGGCTTAACCCATCATCTACTTTGTAATAAACGAGGTTTAAAACTGACACAGCATAACCTAAAAAATAAAATCTTATACATTCCATCATTGTGAGCTTCATTGGATTGTTACAATGCACTACTGACAGGCCTATTAAATTGGCTCTTCACAGTAGCCTACATTATATAATCTCTTGCTAATGTTAAGTTATGTGGATACCTATCAATGCAGTACAATCAATTTGTGGGTCTGTTTAAATGCGTTTAAGCATCTAACAAACCTGAATCCATTATGGTTTTATTACAAAGGCTGTTGCATTCCCTTTTAACTTGACTGTACTCCAATAGTTTTTTTTTTTGTTTTTTTTTGTGGCTGTTTTCTATATCCATGGTCAATAACTAACTAACTTTGGGCTTTAAGCTACTCTGACATCATACATGCATCTGAACACATGCATGCATCCTCTCTATTTATGAATATGACAAGTCTAAGATGTAAATATTTTTTTCTGTTTACAATTTACTGTAAAACAAATTAAGACAGATTTATAATGAAATCATTTCTTAATTACATTTTGCAATTTTAAACAGGGGACGACGCAGTGGCTAAGAAAATATACTACAGCATAGCCTCAAAACATTTTGTCTACCTTTTGGCCAACATGATAACTTTATATTTGGAAGCTGAAAACCAATATATGCAGAGAAATACAAAACTTTAGTGTATTAATATAATTCCTGATTAATAAACCACAAATAAAAAGGACTGCAGAGAACAATGAAACTCAAGGGAAATATTTAGATCTTAGTTGACAAATTGCAATTCTGAAGTTCTATTTTTTTCATGGTTGAAAAACTCACACTCGTGTCATCTTAGTCTTTTCTGTAGCATAAACACTACTAAAGTGTGTGTGTTTATTCATGGCCAATAGCACACGTGGATCAACCAGCAGGAAAAAAAAATCTATTTAAAGCATTTATCTATCTTTACCAATATGCTGAGTCCATTTTCCCTCTAGTACATTTTTAGTTCAGTATCTGTACTTTTACTCCAATACTTTACTTTTTCTTGTCTATGCTGAATAGAAAATTAAGTCCTGTGATTCCCGTCTAATTAAATCGCACATAGGTAGTAAATAACATTATACTGATCAACCTCAAGAGATGGGTGCTTTGTAAATGCAGCAAACAGTTAGAAAGCATTAAAAGTGTCCATAAAGATGTCCAAAGTCTTTATATGCAATGACCCAGAGACTGTTTAAACTGCATGTCACTGAGGAGGAAATGAAGGATGTTGACTGTATGATGCACTACAGAACTAGATGCACTACAGAATATTACATTTACACACACATCCAGAAAATACATGTTCGCATCAGCTTTTTACAGCGTAATACTCACTACTCTCAAGTGCTTTTGAAATGTCTACTTTTTACTCATACTTTGAGTAATATTTGCCACAGATACTTTTACTCGCACCACATTTTGTTATAATTTTTGTTATAATTTTATCTAAGTATGATTTTCAGTACTCTTTCCACCACTGGAAGATATTTTGTGCATCTTGTTTAAAACTCATCCTTTTTAAAATTGCAGATCGGCAGCATGGCTGAGGGTTCGGGTGAAATATCGCTGGGAGAGGTTGAGATGGCATTTCGTAAATTTGCAGTTCATGGAGACACCAAAGCGACGGGGAAGGAAATGAACGGGAAAAACTTTGTTAAGCTGTGTAAAGACTGTAAGGTCATCGATGGGAAAAATGTCACCAGCACAGACGTAGACATCATCTTCAGCAAAGTCAAGTATGAGTATGGTCATTTCAGCTTTTAATTGAATCCTGTGCACTTTAATGGATGAATAACTGTATAATGTTTATGTGCTAGGGTTAAATCAGCACGTGTCATCACATTTGAGCAGTTCACTCAAGCCATGGGCGAACTGGCTACGAAACGTTTTAAAGGGAAGAGCCAGGAGGAGGCAGTGCAGCTCCTCTATGGCCTCATTGCTGGCAAAGAACCAACCAACATTGGTGTCACTGTGAGTACAAATCAGTTACATTAGTTTTTGGGAAAATAAGCTATAAAAAGTAAGTCATGTGGTATTTTATGTGTTCTAACATTGTGTCTGAGGCTTAAAAAACAGGTTGTCAAATTTCCAACAGTATCTGGATGCAGATTTTATGATGCAAGCTGAGATTGCATCTTTCAGCAATGCTATGTCAGACACAATGCACTTAGGGTTAGAGGTGGGGCTAGGGGCGGGCCAGGGGTGTAGTCTTAAAAAAAAGATGGTGTGCTATTACACCCGACCCGAATTTTAAATGAAAGTAGGCAAAGAAACGACAAAGGTCAATGTTTCTTTGATTCATTAGCTATCTATACCTTTTTAATGATTTATGTTTAGCTAACAGTGCCCCCATGTATTAAATAAATAAAACTGCCACATTTTAACATTCAAAATGGCATAAATATGAACATATAAAAATGTACAGGCTATTTGACATATTTCACTATCATAATATAAGTCATAATAGGAAAAAGAAAATATGATACAACAGGTATTTTTACTCTGATTTCACTCTGATACGCAGTTAAAATAAGTCCATTCCCAGAATGGTTCTGTCGTTTAATTCTGTGAACGAATCGAATGTATGCTATAGTTAATACCACATGCACTGTAATGTGTTTTATACTCATAGTTAATTTTGAAATAAACATAGCGATATGTTCGTTAAGAGATGCATGTTCGCTGAAGTAAACAGCTGTGATGATGATGGGAGCACTGGGAAAAGATGGGGAAACCCGATGGCTCCTCCATGACCCTTTCATTGGGGTACAAATGATACAGGTGCTGAATAGAAATATAGGAGGGCTAAAGCAATGCCCATGCTGCTTCATGAATTAACCTGAATGTTTCAGCAAGACATCATTCAGTTGACTTGTCGTGGTCTTCGAAAAACTCCCCAAATTTTCTCACAGCTGCTTCAGTCGTCAGGGAGCGAAAACGGTTCAAGTTAAACAAAAAATGCACCAATTGCAACAAATTAAGATGCAAGTAAAAAAAAACAACATTTCATATACAGTTAAAGGGGACGTGATTACACGTAAATTAGGGAAGTTTAATTAGAAAAACAAGTGAGTATACTGAGAATACACGCATTTATTGATCGTCAGAAGTGGCAATACCCAAACAGCTCATGGAAAAAAGTAAGCATGCTGAGTATACGTGCGTATAGCAAGGACTAGGCCTACACCACTGGTGTTGGCATTAAAAAGCATTGCGTGCAGCTCAGATTAAAATTGCACTGAGTCTGCATCCAAACCCCTTTCACCAAAGTGGCCTTCTATACATTTTGAATAAAAAGACAGTTCACCCAAAAATATGTCATTAACTACCCTCATGTTGTTCTAAATGTGACTTTTATTCATCTTCAGAACACAAATTAAGATGTTTTTGATAAAATCCGAGAGCTCTCTGACCCTCCATGGTGATGTAATGGAATTTTATGAAACTACAAAAATACTTTTGAAGCAATAAAACAAAAATAATGACTTCATTTGACAGAATCTACTATTCAGCATCAGTGGAGATTGCTTGTTAATTATGGCACTGTACATTGCATGTGTGTCTCACTGCTGATGTGGGACTGAGCAAGAAATTGTCAAATAAAGACTGTAAGAATACACACTTAGCTCATGATTTATACATAGCTTGTTTGGCTTGCTGTCCTGGGAGAGAGCCCTGAGCTCAAGAGATTCTCAGGATCAGGGCTCCCTCCCTTTCACAGGGCGAGGGGAGATTGAGCTCAGGTCGATCTCAAAACTCCCCCACTGCTAATGCTACGGTGAACTTCCTGATAGTAAGACATTTCGAAAAAAATACTTATTTTGTCTATAATATAAATCATATTTCCTGTGGAAGGAAACCAGGGAACCCAGGAGAAACCCACGCGAACACTGGGAGAACATGCGAACTCTGCACAGAAATACCAAATGGCTTAGCGAGGACCCAGAGCCATTGGTATTCTTGCTTTGAGGCAACAGTGCTAGTCACTGGGCTGCAGTGCCACCCATTCTGGATAAAAGTGGAAGAAGGGGAGGAGGGGGTTTTCTTCCAGACGAAGATAGTTGTAGAAAGGAAATGAGGATATATATAGTGACTTGGGATCCTTTGATTGGAGGATTGTGATTAGCTAATGTGGGCCAGCTGGGTCAATCATGTGCACGTGCTCCTCTCGAAATCAGTTTAATATTAAACGTCACTTATGAGGTGGCAGGAAAGATTATGCAAATGTGTCATAGAGAAGTAGCAGAATTATTTTTTTTTATATACAACAAAATTGCTTTAAAACAAACCTGTCAAAGGCAAATCACTGTTTCTTTTAAGAAACAATGGGACACATTCATGAAACATTCGTACAACAACTACAGCAACTCAGACCTTTCTAAAAGCTTTGCTCCAGATAGACCAAATGCTTCCTAAACATCAGATTTGAGAATAAAGTCCCAGCCCTGCATAACCACTGCCTATAAATTACTAAACGACATATATTATGTCCAAGAACACAGTGGAATATTATGAACTCCCTTCAAAGGCTCAGCTCCATTATGTTTCATAAATGTAGTAAAGATAAATAGGCCATCTGGCCATATTATTAGGCCAAAAATATATTCAATTCAATTATTGTGTGTGCAACAAGACACTTTTTGTTGCTGTTTTTGTCGCACAGCTTCAAAATGCCAGGCTCTCTTCTGAAAATGTCCTTCTGGAGGCAGTTGAGAACTTCTGAGTTTTATCCAAATTTTCAGTTGTCAAAATAAACATATAAAATACAGGCCAAACAAACTAAATAAACTATCATGCCAATGCTTTAAAATTCACTAATCAGCATGTCAAAAAGAAAACAGAAATTGTTGTGCAGCATTTACACATGAAAGGGAGCAGGTACACATTTATTTCACTTAGAAAACCTGAACACTTCGGTGAATCAGAAAATTTAGTCATTGTCAAAATTGATGTCATAACAGCTTCACCAAGGATTTACATTAAAAAATTGTTCTTCTGTTTATGATTCATGAACATGTATATTCATTTAATATTCATTCATTCATTTTCATGTCAGCTGGTCCCTTTATTATTCCGGGGTCGCAACAGCGGAATGAACCGCCAACTTATCCAGCAAGTTTTTACGCAGCCCTTCCAGCCGCAACCCATCTCTGGGAAACATCCACACACACATTCACACACACACTCATACACTACGGACAATTTATCAACCCAATTCACCTGTACCGCATGTCTTTGGACTATGGGGGAAACCGAAGCACCCAGAGGAAACCCACACGAAGGCAGGGAGAACATGCAAACTCCACACAGAAACGCCAACTGAGCAGAGTTTCGAACCAGCGACCCAACGACCTTCTTGCTGTGAGGCGACAGCACTACCTACTGCGCCACTGTCTCGCCTATTCATTTAATATAAATAATACAATGAGCCCAATATCTTTATCATGCAGTGTTTTCATTAACAACTTATGAGTTGTGTTTTCATTAAAACACAGCTACATTAAAAACCGCAAATGAGATATTGTTTTGAAAACCCATATGACCTGCTTTTAAAGAAACAAACACGCACATTAACCACCATCTTTTTCCCTCCACAGAAAGTGGCAAAAGCCTCAGCCGTGGATAGGTTAACAGACACCAGCAAGTACACCGGGTCTCATAAGGAGCGTTTTGATGAATCTGGAAAGGGAAAAGGCCGCGAGGGAAGGGCGGACATCCCTGACACCAGTGGATACGTCTCTGCATACAAAGGCCAAGGCAGCTATGACAGCAAAGTAAAAGAGGACGAATGAATGGATGAAAGGGGAGGAATGCTTAATGCATGACATAATGTGTACGTCTGAAGTCTTCCTGCTTTAATTTCGGCTGCTAGGTCTTGGCTTGCCTGCAAAAGCAAACCCCTGGCAAAAATCTTGCTCAATAACTGTAATCTTTTTTTCACTTTTATATCTGCAATTACTTTTCAAATATAATATGCTGCTGTTATAAATTATAAATACCCTTTCGTTTGTTATGACACTGGATCTTTTCGCCATGTAGCAACTTGTCTTTCTGTCCAAACATGCTAGCTGCTACCTCAAAAACACTGATTTAGGTATGATGGAATATAACTGATATAAATACATACCTTGAATGCAAGTCACTTTAAAAGAAAACTGTCAAATGTGTAAATTAGTTAAATATGCAAAACAAAAACATTCCGTTGAATATAAAAAAAACAGAGTTGTTAGGGGGTTTTACAGTACATTCTGTCATCATGTTAGTGATTTTTCACGTGGTAGCAAGCAGTAGGGCTGCACGATTCTGACTAAAATGAGATTCGATCACGATTTTTTTAGCTTAAAATCAAGATCACAATTTTCTCACAATTCTGTAGATAAAGGCTAATATGAGTATGCTATTATTATTATTTTATCTCAAATATATGGTGAAACAACAACAAATAATATTAGGCTTGTGTGTAGGTTTGCTGTTGGATAAAATACTAAAACTTGTATAGACATGCGATGGTGGATTGAATAGACTTTAAATTTGTCCTGTTTGTTAATTTACAGTAAAGTGATGACATCAGAATACAAATTTTTATAATTCTAAAGTTTAAATATTAGGTTTGAGACATATGCTTGTCATTTGTCATGGACAACTATATTAGACATTTTTTTACTGGTAAAATGAGACATTTGTCATTATCAAATTCCCTCTTGCATTTTATTCAACATTATAGCTTCTAGAGCACTTGTAATGACACTGTAAAACATTTATTCTCATGCACAACACTTTGTGTTTGCTATGAAAGAAAAAACACACCAAATGCTTGTCGTAATCATAACTAAAATGTAATATATAGTTAAATGATGTGTGCAGTTTTTGTTTTTAATTTCACCGCTGAGTGCAGCTAATGTCATGGCTGCCGTCGCATACTGATTTTTAGTGCATTTCACATGGCTGTTATCAAGATTTATTGTATAAGGCATTAACTCTTACGGTTGATGGGATCTGGTCTCAAAAATCAGTATGCGAGAAGTACCTGTATGACCTGCTTCTTCCAGCGAGATTTTGAAGTGCGCATCGTATGGACGCTACGCTATCCCATGATGCCCTGTGAGAGAATTCATAAACGGGAGTGAAGCGACACAACTCAATGTGTCGATGACAAAATGGCAGATGTAGTACATCCGAGTTTCATTCATACTGCTCACATTCATACTGTATAGAACGTACTTTTCTAATGGCCGAGTAGTTCATTTAAATTCAAATGCACCTACTGAGTACTAGGCATTTTCAGACGCATCTCGTGTGACCCTTTTAAAACCATTTGGAGGTGTCCACATTGCTGGAAAAAGTATATAAAACAGTGTGAAGACTTGTGTGACCTCCTTTATGCTTCTCCCGTACTTTAAAATATAATTGGCTGAATCGCTGCTGAATTAAGATTGTGTGAGGGGGTCAAATCGAGATCACAATCTTTTTTAGATTAATCGTGCAGCCCTAACAAGCTGTTGTTTTTTTCCCATTTGCCTTTCATAAAATGTGCATAATTTATAAATATAAATGAACCAAAAATTAACAGTTAAAGGCATATTTCATCCCAAAATGAATTATTCAGTCTCACGTTGTTCCAAAAATCTATTAAACACACACACAAAAAAGATATATCTGATTCTGCCAAATGGTCAATATATTATTATTGTGATTTGCACAAAAATAACATCATATAGGTTTGAAACAAATTGACAGACAAACAATTTTGTGTTTAAGAAACGTCTAATAGACATTTAAACGTAGACAACTTGGCTAAAACAAGGCTAAACTTGGGCTGTCAGTGAAAATCTAATAGATCTCTAAGAATAGGCCAAAACAAATAGATTTGATACACTTTTTTTGTGTTGGCTTCTCATTCTTAGACATCTATTAGATTTTCACTGACAGCCCAAATTTAGCCATGTTTTAGCCAAGATGACCATGTTTAGACATCTGTTAGACATCTTTTAAAAACAAAACATGCTTGCTTGGACTTTTCATTTTTGGAATGAAGTGTCATTTTAACTGCTTCCTTCTTTCCACAGAGGTTTATATACATGTGCTGGCTATTTGCTGAGCTTTATTGTGTGCTTTTTGAGCTTCTTAGCTTTGTTGCACCGAGATCTCTATCAGACTGAACTGAGTCAAATAAAGTCCAATAATGAAGCACCATGTGGGAATACTTAAATTACAACACACATCACTGTGATGATTTCCATCACTTCTGCTGCATTGTAGACAGAGGTGTGGTGCGTTCCTCTGAATAGCTGTTCTGGGGCCCCAATCAATATGAAACAGAAATCCTTTCCTGGGAAAGCACATGTTTGAGATAGCAGGTTTGAAGCTTTGCGGTCAGCTTCATCACATTTCATGTCTCTTATGCCCTTCATTGTTTTGCAGTATTGTATAAAGCTTGGTGAGGTTTTGGATTTCAACGCATCAGAGGTAAATCACGGTTACAGGAGCAGTCGTCCCACTTGTTGTAGCTTTTTATTCATATTACTGACATAAAGCTCCTCTTTATAAACACACACACAGACCTAAATCTGCCTCTATTGAATGTGGAAGGAGGAGATCTGGCTGGATATAAAGCCGAATACAACACTCTGGTTTTCACTCGCTTAAGACTCAATAGGCAGAAACAGCTGTGAGACATGAAAGGTGAGAAAATAAACACTGTTTATGTACAGAAACTATTTTTCTGAGAGTAAGAGCCTAACATTAGCTTGTCAGACTGTTGTGCCTGTTAAACATTTATAGGGGACAAAATACCATTCAGCTGTTGTTTTGTCTAACTATTAGTTTTAATATTTATTTGTTTTTACTACACTGTAAAACCCAACAGTCAACTTTATCAAATGAAAGGTGTGTAGTTAACTTAAAATTGGCTTAAAGGTAATTCTACCAATTTGAAAAGAGTTTTGAACTCAGTGTTGAAGGTAATGAGCTAATTAAATACCTCATTACTTCAACTTAAATAGAGTAAGTTCACAGTACTTATTTAGATTAGTTTTTTTAACTCAAATAGTTTGTAGCAATCGGTTTCCTCAAACAGTTTGAGTTGCCTTGACTTATTGAGTTTTACAGTACTCAGTTGGTTTCAGTTCTCATCATTTATTAGGTTTTACTGTGCTCAAATTGCTTTGTTTACTCAAATAGATTAGGTTCACAGTACTCATTAGGAGTACTTTTTGAAATGGTTTGTTGCAGTCGGTTTCCTCAAATGGTTTTCTTTGTTTTTGTTAGAAGTTTTCATTATATTCTATGTATTATGATTTAATTATATACATTTTGTTTATTATAATTCATTCTAAATCAATCTTTTTATTTAAGAGAAGTACAATCGTATTTTTTACAAATATTTAAAAATATAATATTAGCTACTCAAAGCCCTGATGTAATCTAAAGACCTTTTTTTCGTATTATATTGAGTTTGTGTATGTAATGTAGCTGAGAGAACTGCACTCTTAATGGAAGCTGAAAGAATGATTCATTTAGCTGACATATTTAATAAACGAGCGCTTAAGATGGAGTCTGCAGACAGAGTCCATGTGGGCTACATTATGTTTGACAGATCTGTATACATTTGCACCATTTTCATGAGCCTAAGCTAAACTGGCTCAGAACTGTACAGACTGTATAATGGTATCATGACATGATGTGATAAACCTTTGTGAACAATTTAAATCAGGAAATGTTGTTGTGCTGTTCTGCGCGCTGCCGCTGGTGCTCAGCCAGCCAAAGACCTACAGCTGGGACGGACCAGGACAAACCCTCGCTCCAGATCCCATCAACCGTAAGAGTTAATGCCTTATACAATAAATCTTAATAACAGCCATGTGAAATGCACTAAATCTTAAAGACACGTGCAACATTTTATTTCTCTCTCACTAGCGTGCCTGACTGACCAGGAGTCATGTGGTTGTTGTGTGATGCAGAAGAAAAAATGGCAGTTACAGCAATATTTAAACTCTAGTATGAACGCACTGGAGGATTCGCTGGCCAAAGCACAAAACACACTGAAAAACATCAGAGGTACACACACCAACACACAAACACATGCTTCCTCAAGTATAATTTAGAAAAACAACGTTTTATACATCTCTAATATTGCGAAATAAAAGCACCTGAAGTTTAGGCTCAGATATGCTAACAGCTTGTAAAACAATTGGTATTTGACTTTACTTAGAGAGATTCACACAAAAATAATGAATCATTTACATAATATAAATGATAAATATTATAATAACTTGTTCTCAATCTATAGCAGTATCTGTCTTCTGCTGAACTCAAAAGCAATATTATGAAGAAGGTTGATAACCAGGAGAGATGTGTCTAAAGCAAACCACCCCTTCACAGGGGTTCCTCAGGGATCAGTTCTTGGAACCATTCTCCTCTCCATTTACATTACTTTGCAAGGTTCAATCACTCCCAACAGGACTTTTCTTAACATTGTTATGCTGACCACACACATCTCGCATTTCAACCATACTACAGTAACAACAAGGATCTCACACTGCCTGGAGGACCTCTTGGTTTGTATGAAATATCATCTGCAGCTCAATCTGTTGATAGCTTCTTTTCCTTCCTGCAATACAGCTATACAGCATAATTTCACAATCTATCTGGGGTCATCTGATATTCAGTGAAGGAATTCAGTGAATTCAGTGAAGAACTGTAGAGTGATCTTTAATGAACAGTTGTCCTTCAAAGATCACATGGCAAACACAGCATGATCATGTAGGTTTGTACAGCATCAGAAAGTTCAGGACCTTCCTTAAAGAGCATTCAGCACAGTTGCTGGTTCAATTGTGATTTCAAGACTGGACTACTGCAATGCTTTCCTGGCTGGACTACCATGATTCACACTGGCAACATTCAAAAGACACCTACTGTAAAACTCAGTTCAGTGAGCCCTTTAACTTAAAAAACAAAATTAAAATTAATAATTATATTCGCTCTTCTAGCTTGTATTTTCCAAACTGAATCAGAAACTTTGTATTAGTAGCACTTATTGCGAGTACAAAGTCATATGATGCCTTCCTCATTATAAGTCACATGGATAAAAGAGTCTGCTTAATAATTAATGGTAAATCATTGGTTTGGTTAACAATTTTTTATTTTAAATATCTTCTTTTGTGTGCAACAAAAAGAAACCCATTCAGGTTTGGCAAAATTTTAGGATGTGTATGTTTCCAAAATTGTGTGAACTATCTTTTAAATTTTAAAAATGATCGGTTTTATTTGTATTCTATGCTACTGAAAAAAATAATTTTTCTGATATATCTTTTAATTGTTGCATTCGTTCATTTTCCAAAGCCATGCGGGTTTTGTTTAAACTTATAGTTTTGAGTGAACATAACAGGAGGCACAGAAGTAATAGAAACTAATTTCTTTTCAAATGAAATCTTATTTTGAACTAGATCATTATCCTATGTACCTTCTGCTTTGGCAATGTAGAATACTGTATTTTATCTATTAAAACTGTTCTATTATCACCTGTATCATTAAAGGTATAAAAGTTTAAAAGTTGATATTCTGTTTGCATCCTCTCTAAGTATTTTAAACTGTAAATAAACAGAATGGTTTCTAATATATTATATAACATATACAATGGGGAAAATAAGTTTTGAACATTTCACCATTTCCTCAGAAAAGTAATTTTAAAGGTGAAATAAAAATAAAAAAATTTTAAAGAAAATTTGTTTACCAGATGTTGGTAACAACCAAAGAAATCCATACATGCAAAGAAAACAAAACTAATTAGTTTACAAATTAAGTTATGTGTAGGCCCACCCGGTATCTGCGTGCACAGAATTCCTGCAGATGTTTCACAAAATTCCGCAGATTTTTTTCGATAATCTACAGAACAAACCATCATTATACAATAACTTGCCTAATTACCCTAACCTTCCTAGTTCACCTTATTAACCTAGTTAAGCATTTAAATGTCACTTTAAGCTATAAAGAAGTGGCTTGAAAAATATCAAGTAAAATATTATTTACTGTCTTCATGTAAAAAATAAAATAAATCCGTTATTAGAAATACGTTTTTAAAACTATTATGCTTAGAAATGTGCTAAAACAACCTTCTCTCCATTAAACAGAAATTGGTGAAAATAATAAACAGGGGTGCTAATAATTCAGGGGGGCTAATAATTCTGACTTCAACTGTATATGACAAACTTGCTTTATTTACCAAATAAAGTGAATCTAATTGGATTTGCATTTTAAACATTAAATAAAAGTTAAAAAGATATTATTTTTTATTTCATATATTAAGGCTTTAGTTATGATAATCCCAAAATAATTCCGCAGAAATCCCCAGATTTTTACCAAAATTCTCAGCAGAAATAGCAAAAAAATGTCCGCAGATTCCGCCTGGCCCTAGTTATGTGTAATACAAATTAAAGAGGGAAAAAAGGGACAAAATATTAAACACGTGAAGAAAGAGAGCTGTAGAAAGGCAATTCTTTCAGATATATCTTTCATTTGTTGCATTCATTCATTTTCCAAAGACATGGGGATTTTGTTAAAACTTATAGTTTTGAGTGAACTTAACAGGAAAGCACAGAAGTAATATAAACTGGTTTTTGTCTTATTTTGAACTAGATAATTATCCTATCTACCTTCTGGTTTGGCAGTGTAGAGTATTTTATCTATTAAAATTGTTCTACCTTTATGGTAAACGTCATAATATTGTAAAACTTTTTATTATATTAGTGTCACCAACATCTGCTTATGACAATATCTTGCTATTAACCTGGCAACATTACAAAACATACAAAATACATTACAGTGTAAAACAGAAATATTGTCATAAAAGACACCACAAAATAAAAAAGAAATTTTGCTGCTGATATAAAACAGAAATATTTTTTCAGTCCTTAAAGAAACCTAAATAATCTTGAAAGTTAATTTAAATCTTAAAAGTAATGAAGCTCAGTTTCCCTATTAATATGATTACATCTGGGTTTCACACATGCTCTTTGTTATTCTTCAGACAACCGAGTGGCATTTTCTGTTGGTCTGACTGACAAAAGGCGTTGTGTTGGTCCAGTGAAGTTGCCGATTACCGTGGTCTACCAGAGCATCTTCATCAACATTGGAGAGGCTTATAACTCCACAACTGGCGTGTTCACGGTTCCACGCTCAGGCGTTTATAACCTGGCCTTCACTGTGTTCAGCGACGCAGGCTCTCCAGGCGCACCGCTGGCAGTGTGTGCCAGCATCAGGAAGAACGGTGTGGCTCTAGCAGCTCTCAGAGAGGTTTATGATCAAGACCAGGAGGACCAGGCCACTGCTGTCTTACTCGCACAGCTCAGTGTAGGAGACCGCATTACCATCAGTCTCCAGGCTGGATGCTGGCTTTGTGATGATCAGAACCACTACAACACATTCAGTGGCTTTCTGCTGTACGCCACTGAGTGAAACATGTACACACACACAGGTTGGTTTTTGTGGTTTATGAGGACTCTTCATAGGTGTATGCATTTAATACTGTAAAAAACACTATATGGCCTTGTCTTATAAATAAATAAATCCAACCCTCACAGAAACCCTGTGGCAAATTTTGAATGTGAATAGACCGTTTAGTAAGATTAAAAAATTTAATGATAAGAACACAAGGCATGTCCTCATAAACCACTTTAACATTATATCTTATACCTATGTCATTACACAAACATGCGTGTTCATAAATTACAAAAGTGCACACAATCACGCACAAATGTACTGTTCAAAGTTTAAACAGAATCAAATATCATCAACTTACATTAAGCTGACTAAAACAGCTTGTATGACTAAAATAAACTATAAAATATGATTAATTGAAACATTGTTTTATTACATTTAAATAACAAACATACATTGCCCAGATATTGATCATATCATTTTTACCCAATACAGATGTTACAAGCTATATCAGTCAGACGCTCTCATAAATGTCATTGTCTTCATACATTACAGAACTTGAATTTGCAAATTTCTGAGCATTTCAATTATTGACCACCATTTCAGATGTCAACACACCTGATTTAAGAAGGTTCAATGTGGTGAAGTTGTTTTAAATATTCGATCCTGAACTGTAAAAGCGCACGCAAACACACACGCATGCACACACGCACATACACACAGAGAGAGAACTTCATCATTATAGTAAAATGCTGAAATGAAAACAGAATGTCCAACTTTTACTTTCTCCCATTATTTCATCCATTTATCAAATGTTTTGTTAATATTCTGTGTCCATCCTCTCTAAGTAGATAAATTACTGTAAAGAAACAAAATTTAATAGTTTCACACACACACAAACACACACACACACACACACACACACACACACACACACACACACACACACACACACACACACACACACACACACATATAAATATATATAAATATATATATATATATATATATATATATATATATATATATATATATATATATATATATATATATATATATATATATATATATATATATATATATATATATATATATATATATATATATATATATATATATATATATATATATATATATATATATATATATATATATATATATATATATATATATATATATATATATATATATATATATATATATATATATATATATATATATATATATATATATATATATATATTTATTTATTTATTTATTTATTTATTTATTTATTTATTTATTATTATTACTTTTCTTTTCATTGTACTTTTAACTTGCATATTTAACCTAATTAGTCAAATTAAAGTTTTAAGTTGAATTTTAAGCTGAATACTAATACCTTAGTAAAATATTATGTACTGTCATATAGCAAAGATGAGATAAATCAGTTATTAGAAATGAGTTATTAAAATTATTAGGTTTAGAAATGTGTTGACAAAATCTTCTCTCCGTTAAACAGAAATTAGGGGAAAATATAAAAGAATTGTCTTTCTACAGCTCCCTTTCTTCACGTGCTCAATACTTTTTCCCTGTGTCATTTAATTTTATTACACATAACTTAATTTCCGAACTAAATAGTTTTGTGGATTTTTTTTTATTGTTGTTACCACCATCTGATGAAAATTTTAAGTCAAGCAGCACCTTTAGAAATATGTTTTCTGAGAAAAATGGTGACGTGTTCAATACTTATTTCCCTCATTGTATATGTATGTGTATATGTGTATACATTATATAAACCATGGAGATATATATATATATATATATATATATATATATATATATATATATATATATATATATATATATATATATATATATATATATATATATATATATATATATATATATATATATATATATATATATATATATATATATATATATATATATATATCTCAATATATATATATATCTCTCAATATATATATATATATATATATATATATATATATATATTGCTTAAGGGGGATAATAAAGTTAACCAATGTTTTGTTTTAATTAAAAACTTCTTTTAATCTATAGGCAAATTAAAACAAATGAGACTTTCTCCAGAAGAAAAATATAATTATAAGAAATACTTTGTTTGTGATTCATGGGTGTTTTCAGGTTATTTACACTTTCAAAATGCATAAAGAGATCTTAATCTCTGCTCTGCCTAATTTTGATGTGCCAAATAGTGACTTTTTGGTGTTTTTAGTTCATGAAATAATAATAACATTGTCAAGACTGCTCATATAGTTTAGGGTACAAATACCAGTTAATGACTATAGGTCGATGTTTTGACTGACGTTCCTGCAAACAGATAAACATCAGTCACTTCAGAGCAGCATTTCAGGGATTAGTTTTCATCTTAATGCAACGTAAAAGAGCCTCTGAAAAAAAAAGAAGGTTCAAGCAAAGTGAACATAAAAACATCTAAAAACTAGTGATGGGTTGTGAGAGTGCATGATTATATGCTGTCGTGGCTTTGCAGTCAATATATGTGGTTATAATGGAAGTCAATGGGGCAAAAACAGCCACCAACATAGCCAAAGGGAAATCCATTTGTAGTTTATTGTTGAGCTTTTGAACAAATGGTTTACCCTAATTATTATACTAATGCCAGTATTTTTCCAGATACTCTTGTGTACTGTACACAATATTGACTCTAACTACACATCAATAAAAGTAACTTAGTATGCAGTAGTTTTAATAATTATTTACATTATTAACTGTTAGAGCGGCATAGTGGGTAGTACGATCGCCTCACAGCAAGAAGGTCACTGGTTCGAGCCCGGGCTGGGTCAGTTGGCATTTCTGTGTGGAGTTTGCATGATCTCCTTGTGTTCGCGTGGGTTTCCTCCGGGTGCTACGATTTCCCCAACAGTTCAAAGACGTGTAGTACAGGTGAATTGAGTATGCTAAAATTGACCCTAGTGTATGTGTGTGAGTGAGTGTGTGTGTATGGATGTTTCCCAGTGATGGGTTGCAGCTGGAAGGGCATCCGCTGCATAAAACGTGCTGAATAAGTTAGCGGTTCATTCCGCTGTGGCAACCCCAGATTAATAAAGGGACTAAGCTGAAAAGAAAATGAATGAATGAATGTTAAGAGGATAAATGAGGTATCGGCAACTGTTTTATTTTGAAACCCTAACAGTTCTTAGAGAAATTATCTGTCTGAACAAACATTCAATCTGCCAGACAGTTACTCACATTTAATTCTGCCAGCATTCTGTAGCAAACTTTGGAGTGATTTATATTTTTAATATTATACATGAGGTTTGAGGATTACATCACCTGGATGAGCCACATTAAACCGAACACAACACACAAACATGTGCTATCCTCAATCTCTCTAAAGGACAAAGCAATCCTAATAAGGCCGTTAATCCACTCATAACTGATAATATTAGCCAATTCATCACAAACACAAACACATCTGCAACCAGAGCCAGCTGACCCACTGATACTCTTGTTTCGCAGACTTTCTGTCATTATCGCTTTATTAAACGCTGAAATTGAGCAGTTCAGAGAAGGACATCTGAAAGTATTCGCCATGTGTCTTGGGATTTTAGATTAGAGCAACTATAGGATATGCACAACACAGTATTTGATGGTCATCAGGGTGGAACATCACTGATAAAAAAAATACAAGCAGGAACAATTAATTATTGCTCAGTCACTGAGGAAAAATCTACTTATGATCAACAAAGATTGACTGTAAAGAGTGTCAATGCTGTGAAACGGACAGAAGATTTAAAGAAGCCCAAACGCCGTCAAAACAACAAAGCTGCTGTTACTGGAAAGCAGGGTTACATTAGGTCACGAAAAAGGTGAGAACATGTGCATATGCTGTTTAGAAAATAGATTATTTCTATAAACAAAAAAGCTTGGAAGGGCAGAGAAAAAAATGTGTAGATCTCTATTTAATAAAAGGTATTGAATTACCATTTAAAGCACATCGTTTCAGCTCATGTGTTGGTTGTTTTGAAAGAGGATCTTATACTCTCTCTATATTGATTCATACTGTATAGCTCAAAATATTTTTTATATATAAAAAAAAAATATTTAGCTGAAAAGTGCCATTCCTTAAACGTTCACATATTTACTCTGATTGCTGATTAAAATGTGGGAAAAGTAAGCAGGGTGTGAATTATACATTGACGATCAGGGGAGTCACTTTTTCTGTAATATTTTTTTTTTTTGTGTGTGTAATACATGCTTCAGTGCATCAATTTTAATGTCATATATTTTATTAATGTAATATATTTAATTTGGCCTCATTGTGGCGCAGTGGGTAGCACAATCGCCTTACAGCAAAAAGGCTGCTGGTTCAAGCCTCGGCTGGCATTTCTGTGTGGAGTTTGCATGTTCTCCCCATGTTAGAGCTGGTTTCCTCCGGGTGCTCCGGTTTCCCCTACAATTAAAAGACATGCGCATTGAATAAGCAAAAATTGTCTGTGGTGTATGAGTGTGAATGCGTGTATATGGATGTTTCCCAGTAACTGGTTGCAGCTGGAAGGGCATCCGCTGCGTAAAACATATACTGGATAAGTTGGTGATTCATTCCACTGTGGCAATCCCAGATTAATAAAGGGACTAAGCCGTAAAGAAAATTAATGACTAAATAAACATAAAATTTTTCAGTGTTTTGTGAGACAGTTTGTGTATTCTGACCTACATGCAATATCCTGTAAATAGCCATTAGCAGGTTACTGTAGGTCAAACTATGCAAACAATGCATATGATTTGACTTTACTTTTAGATTATATGTAGAAACAAGGACCTATTTTACAAGAAAAGGGTTTTGTGAACACTTACCGTGTCTAACAGCTTACATTAATTGACATAATTATGCATTCATAATGGTATAATCCCTTATAGGGTTGGTAAACTGTATATTTATATTAACTATTGTTTAATTAGGCGAAGCAGTGGCGCAGTAGATAGCAAGCCTTCTTGCTGTTAGGCGAAAGCACTGGGTCGCTGGTTGGAGCCTCGGCTCCGTTGGCATTTCTGTGTGGAGTTTGCATGTTCTCCCGGCGTTTGCGTGGGTTTTCTCCGGGTGCTCCGGTTTCCCCCAAGACATGCAGCACAGGTAAATTGAGTAGGCTAAATTGTCCATAGTATATGAGTGTGAGTGTGAGTGTGTGTGTGTGTGTGTGTGTGTGTGTGTGTGTGTGTGTGTGTGTGTGTGTGTGTGTGTGTGTGAGAGAATGAATGAATGTGTGTGGATGTTTCCCAGAGATGGGTTGCGGCTGGAAGGGCATCTGCTGCATAAAAAAAAAAAAAAAAAAACGTGCTAGATAAATTGGTGGTTCATTCCGATGTGGCGACCCCGGATTAATAAAGGGACTAAGCCGACAACAAAAAGAATGAATTATTTAATTAGTAATATTAGTATTTAAGATGCAGATCAGAGCAAACTGCTTACTATTTAGAGGACTGACCCCCATACATGTTGTTCTCATGTCCTTCCGGGGGGATCAAGCATTATTAGGGGTTCAATCCCACCTAAACCCCCCTGTAATTTGCACCCTGCTAGTAAGACATTTTGTGGGTTGCTAAGATTGCTCAAGCCATTTAGGGCACGATTAGATCATCATAAGGAGCACCATATTTAAAAAATCATGAATTTTGTTTTTGTGATGTTTGTGATAGTTAGAACTGCAGCAGTGTTCTCCATTAGATAAAATAAAAATATATCAATTAGCAGGATCTGTGCTCTTGCAGATCTAAATCATGCAGAAACAAATATTAA